TGTAAGCGGGGAGTGTACTTGTGAAATGAGTTTCTTCGTGTTTCGCTCTATGTTTTGTCTTTTGTGTAGCCTATTTGAAGGGGCGGTGCATGCAATGATTTTCCAACTTTCAATTAACTGCGGGGATTAGTCTGTGTCACCTAAAGGATGAAGAGCCAAAAAGGTTTTGTGTTGCGTACGTTAATATATATATATATATATAACTAATTAAAATTTGGAGTACCCCTCCAATCTCACAGCGTCTTTCGAGTGACGTTATTCGGAGCACCACCTGATTTCTCGTTGAGTTCTGTCTTCAGGGTCCCTGTCTCTCCGCGCCTGTAGAATCTTCGAGGATTAGCATTGCCGAAGGCAGCGGCGTGCGACCGAGACAAGAGACGGTTTTGCCACTGGTCTGACCGCGAGTGTAGCAGAAGGAGGGGGACGGGATTTGTTTAATTTTGTTGAGTTTTGTGTACTACCAATGATGGGGCACCGTTGTTCCCGTAACGGCTACACAAAGCTGAAAAAAAAAAAAAAATTATACGCAGCAGAGTTGCAGTATTTCGAGAGAAGGTGACGCGTTTTCTCTCACTTGTGCCAAATTAAACAATATAAAAAATACAAGCTGCAAAATATTGCAACGTTAAAAGCGAGGTCGTCTTCAGTCCCTATAAATGAGATTCAACAGACCTATTGCTAAATTACCCAAGCATCAAGAAGCATGCAGGGAAAGTAGTCACACGCGCTGCGTGTGCTGGCGCTGGCGGTAGCATCTTTTTAAAGCAGAATTCTGAAACAAGTGACAGTTCGCACGGGCGATCCGCAAACGCCTTTTTGCTATGATTTCTTTAAAAATATATTTAATACAGGTAAAACGAGCGAGCGCATCGCGTGTAACTGCGTTCCCTGCATGCTTCTTGATGCTTGGGTAATTCAGCGATAGGTCTGTTCACGGAAGGGCCCTCGAAATGATATACGTCTTAATAATACTGCCCAAAGTAGTGCTTTAACTCAAATTGGTTCTCTGGATTACATCAGTCCTTTTCAAGGGCCGCAGGTTCATTCACATGACCGCATGATTCATCCGGCCAGGCCAGCGCAAGAACTTGTGTGCGCTTGTCTGCTTTTATATCTGTTCCCAGTCTTTTTTTTATTATTTTTTTTTTTAGAAAGAGAATTTAAGTAGATTGTACGCTGCAGAAAGTGTGCCCGGCGGACGCATGCTCAATCCATGCTTCGATGCGATGGCTAGCAAAGCGTAGCTCTACTTCTTTTTTTTTTTTTTTTTTTTTCCTTTTTTTTTCTAGAAGAGAATGAAACCGTTCTGATGAGTATGTATGACTTATCAATTTTAGAACATAAAATGTGTTTCTTTTTTTTTATTATTTTGCATAGTCGCATTTAGTTGTCCGGATTTTGTCCTACTGTAAGCCATACTTGGGTAGTAATTTGAATACAGAAATTAAATTACTGTAATTTAATTACTTTTTGGTAATTCGTAATTGCAATAAATTACTTTTGGCTAAAAGGAATTATACTTGTAGCTTAATTACTTTCTAGCGTCAGTAATTGCAAAAATTTCAGGCACAATGACAATTACTTTAGCAAGACATTGCGGCGCCGACGGAACCTCACTGAAAGCCTCAGCGCTCGCACAAGTGGCCTAGCGCTCGGTGACGTATACTCTCGCACATAGACACGCACACAGATACTTGTTGCTTGCAGCTTTGTTGCTTGCACTACCTGCTGAGAGAAAATCCTCTTTGGAACCTACCTCAACGGCGCCATTTGGAGCCGTGTGCGTTGCGAGCAGAAAACAATAGCATTAACATGCCAAAATATTGAGAGGAAAAAAATAGAGTTTCAGCTTTCAGCTGAGGGTGAAAATTTTAATTGTCTATGATTTTTTATTTTTTTTTATTTTTTGCCAGTTGTTTTACGTTTCTCTTTCAGTACTGTAGCATATTTGTTTTGCATTATTTTCAAGTTTATTTCCTGTTAGTTTTACTTCGGATATTATTTTCATAAACCTTTTGGAGACTGATCTCGCACCTGTGAATATTGTCACCATTGATTCGGGAGCCCCGATTCGGTTCTTATATATTTCTGAGCCATTCGAATTTCAACTCAATGTAAATAATTTACAATAACATGATGTTTGTATGTGAATGTGGCCGTATTAGCCCGTGTGGATTGTCGTATATTAACACTATTGAAATCTTCAGACATGACTAATTGTCGCATTTTTATTAGCCTGGCTAACAAAAGTGTGCCAACCCAATTATTTTCTTTAGCGATCTGGCGTCTTCGAGGATATGTGTTTATGATTATTTCTTGAAAATAGAAGAACTGAGGACTTCAGTGCCCCTAACTGTCAAGTTCTATCATTAATTTAACGAAATTCATAAAAGGAAAGTACAATACGTTACATTTTGCAGCGATGCTTAGGCCTCCTCAAACATTGGGGCAAGGAATCAGCAAATGCGTCGCATTCTGTACAGCTCGTTTAAAGTTATATATTGCCCAAGTCGCTGGGCCATATATTTAATAGTATAATTGTATATTCTGGTTAAACTAATTTTGTAGCAAGTAACTGTAATTGTAATTACATTACATTTTGGACGTAATTTATCCATGTAAATGCTGTAAGCAGGGAGCACATATGCCGCACAAACGAGCATCGGCCCTTGTCACGTGACCAGAAAGACGAGGGATAATCCGGCCACCAGCCATGATCCCGTTGCATCTGATTACGTCACAATCCGTACTTTCTTTCGTTATACACAAATATTCGTGATATCTCACACTAGAATCGTACAGTAAGGAAGGGTATACAGCATTAAAATTCCGCCCTCGCTCCGATTAATGTAATCATTCGTTGCTTTTCACTTTCTTTTTTTTCTTCGCTTTTATTTTGTTTTGCTCTTCCGGTACATGGTTTTCGGAAAATCCGCTCCTGCTTACCTTGCCGGGGGGATTCCGTTCTTTTTCGTCCTACTTAGGTATTCGTTCCTCCAAGGAACTCTATTCTCCCCGCGCAAAGCAGGAAACGCGACGTACCGCACGCGATTCGAATGATTAAAAAGCTGTTTCCTCCGCCAAGTTCGTATGCCGCACACACGTTGCAACTGTGTGCATATTTTCGCGTGGATTATCAATCATCCATTCCTGACTGATTGATTAGGACGCATGGCGAATCCACAACAACTTCCTGGGTCGACCACCCCCTCGCCCGAGTTACAGGGCTGACGATTCAGGGATGCCTCGTAATATGGGGCTTCTCACTTGGAAGCGCTTTCACGTGGCTAGAAGTTGGCGAGGAACTTGTCAGAAAGCACAGGGTCAAGCTGGCTTTAGGTTAATCGCGTCTGGGAGGAAAACGACCAAAGCAATTTTCTTTCTGGTGTGTAAGAGACTTCATGATGTGTATCTGCTTCAAAAGATGTGTGGTATTAAAAAAAAAACTAATATTTATAGTAAGTTACGAAGATACTTTACGCCATAAAACAAACAAACAGAAGTCATAAAAGGCGTCAGAGTTACATGTAAGAAAGCTGCGCACATTTTTTAAACAGTCTCGTTGGGGCACTTGTGTCGACAAATTAATTTTACGCGACAAAAATTTAGAGCAATATTGACGGCGCGAGATTTATTTTAAATTATGGGCGCAAAGTTCATGACATCACGGAATGGTCATACACTCTTTCACCCTCAACGAGATGGACCAACAACAACAAGAAGCTCCTGGTGGTGTTGGATGGACATACACTGTCACCACCTCAGCGTGGTGGCCAATCCGACCCAGCTCTCCTCCACGCGCCCGAAATGCCGAGAGAGAAAACAAGTGGAAAGGAGGTGACCACCGGCTCAGCACCGGCTAAGTCGCGTCTCGCGCCGACAGTATTGCTCTATTTTTATTTTTTATTTGTTCGCATAAATTTCTTTTTTTGACACTTGTGTCCCAATGAGACAGTTAAAGAAAAAAATGTTTAGGGGCTTTTTAAAGATTAAATAATAAAAGAATGTAATGCTGGCTAGATATAATAAAAAGGTAATTCATTTTATTTCGACCAGATTTTAAAAAAGGGGCGGGGGGGGGGGGGGGGGGGGTCGTTGTGAATTAAGGGGGGTGCTTCAGAAAAACAAGGAAAGGGGGGGGGGGGGGGGATTCACTGGGTACGGCAATTTTCACCAAATGAACGTTTTGTGCTGCTTTTTGCAAACATTTCCCCTAATTTCAATTACCGTACCACCGTCACCACCGAAACGCACATTCACCTCCTTCCGTTTAAACATAGACCACGGGGAAAGAAATGAAGATATAAAATCGCTCCCTCGGGCAAAAGACGCCTTCGTGCGCCGTTGGAAGCTGGTCGAACTTCCCAAACGAACGAAAAACCAAAACCAAAGACACGGCACTTCCGATGAGAGAAGGAACGTGCGTGCACTGCTTTAATCGCACGCGCTCCCGTGCATTTGACTGCGTCGACTTTACAGAAAGTTGTTATCCTAACACAAAAGGAAGAGACCACAGCTGCATTATTAGGAACGGCTGCAGATTGCAGGGCTGAAGATTGCGTATGCTGCAGATAGCGGGCCGTGCGGGCGCGTGCTCAATCCATGCTCGAAGTGGCGGCACGAGCTCCCACAGGTAACGCAAATCTCTTGCGTGCAATCTACGGTTCCTGGTGGTCCATTTGTCTGTGTGTGAACTTAGTGAACTGCGAATGAGTAGAGCGCGTAGGGGCTAGCGCATGCGGAGCGGCTGGCCATTTTTGAAATTCGCGGGTCAAGAAGACCCAATGTTGACTACCAAGGTGTTGAGGCTAGCTAAACTCCTAAATGCGAGGAATGCGAGGTGGAGCAAATGTAAGCAAGCAAGCAAGCACTATACTGATAGAAAATACTAAAATTTTACTAGGTACTAATTTTTATTGAACAAACTTAAGCTATTTTATACTTTATTAATTGACGACGCAGCAGCTAACGGGCTAACGGTACTTGATATGATAATATGCATTCTGGAATCCAAGACAAGCACGGTATGGTTGCCCCTTTTGCCTGTGTTTACAAACAAGTCGCACATTTTTATTTGTACATCTTGCGATCCGATGCACGGTAAACAAGTCACGCAATGAACAACAGCAGGCCGTTTTTCCACAGGTACGGAGAGTCAAATGCTACCTTGCTACAATTTTTCTTTTAGTGTAAACAGCTTTCACAAACTATCGTTTCGGTAACAACTGTTGTCGGTTACGGGCTATCTTTGACAATCTTCTTGCAGGTTGGTTCACCTTGATTTAAAAGGTGCAGCTTTCAAGGTATCTTTCTACGAGCAGGTAAGGTCATCATATAATATTTTAGCTGCATGGGTAAAGTGTGATTTGTGTGTGCTGTTGCTCTCTTCCAAACTCAGTTACTTCCATTCCTGAGAAACATCGGAGCAACCGGTGTCCTCATCGAGTACGAGGACACTTTTCCCTACGCCGGCGACCTCGCCGATCTCAAGCACCCAGAAGCCTACTCGCAGGAATGCATCCTGCACATACAGCAGATCGCCAAGCTCTCCGATCTCATAGTTGTGCCTCTTGTACAGACTTTCGGCCACTTGGAAGTGAGTTGAGTGTGTTCTTTCGCCTTGTGTTGTAAGCTTGTTTCTCTCGGCCAGGGGGCGCCGGTTTCGTTATTTTTGTTTTGTTTCACAAGTATATCAACCTGGTGAGGCACAACGGAAACGCGACCCAAGAATGTCCGATTTTGCTCGCCAGGGGCACTGCTCAAAAATTCAGAGCTCTCGGCCTATGTACAAAACGTGGGAGTAAGCGACTGATTAACACTAGAACTGTCCAAGACTGAAAACTTCGTTTCTCATTAATTATTGTGAATGTAAGAGTGAAATTATTTCATCCGCACTGTGCATCACAAAGTTAGACCCGAGGCATTAATTGTGCAACACCATTAGCAAATTAAAAAATTAAAAATTAAAAAAAAAAGGTTGGGGGGGCATTTAAGCAGTTCCTGCGAGTTATGAATACGAAAGCATGCCACCGGTGACGTATTGCTTCCGCTCTCGTGAAGTGGCCGCACCGCGCTGAGCTCCACCGTGCTGCATCTCCGGAGTCTGCCAATGCCGGCTTTGCAGGCTCCACAGCCAGCCGCTTTCTTTTACCAGCGGCCGGGCCACAGCGCCACCATGAAGAGGGCTTTTCTGGTGGCGTTCCTTGGAAATACGCTGCGTGAGAGCCAATGGGAGCCTCGTTCCTTGAAACTATGAATCGCGTGAGCCAGTGGGAGCCTATCCATCAGGTTTCTGCTACAGATGACTCCATTGGGGCAGGGAAAGGTGCTATTTGGCGCGGCGTCAAAAGCTGATGACGTCGGCTCGCTCCATCGGGCCCCGTTTAATGCTTTTTCGCATTAAAAAGAGCAGTGGATAAGTGTTTAGATTTCATAACACAGATAGTTTGGATGGTATTCTTTTAACCATTTGAGTAAGATCCAAACAAACTGGCAATTAGCACATTGAGCCATGTGTACCTCCTCCTTTTTCTTCAAACTTTTTTGTTTCATTTTTCAGTTTGTCCTGAAGCTCCAAAAGTTTCTCGAGTTCCGAGAGATTTCACGGTATCCAAACGTCCTCTGCCCATGCCATCCAAGTAAGTGCACTCAAATAAAACTGTGGTCGCTACCACGTCTTACGTTGTTCCAACTACCTTTTATGCCAGAGTCGCTATCTCTCGTGGAAGAGATGGTTTCGCAAGTCATCCAAGCTCACAGCGACGTACAATGGTTCCATCTGGGTGCCGACGAGGCAAGTCTTTCGATCGCCGCGCACCCTCCACAAGACGGCAGTAAAAACACAACTTTGGATTCCTTCGCCCGTAGGTCTGGCACCTCGGCCAGTGCAACCGCTGCAGGACCGTGATGGCCGAAGAACAGTGGAGCAAGGACCACCTGTTCGTCGACTACGTTGCCAAGCTGGTGAGGACATTGCAGAAGAGGTACCCCAACGTCCGCTTCATCATTTGGGACGATATGATGCGCGAAATGGATCCCCAAGTCATTACAGGTTTGTGTGGTTTCTTTATGTAGTCACTGACAAGATGACAATGACGGGGCATCTCTTTCGAATGACCGGTTTCCAGCACGCGCTCTTTGCCTTCTGCTACGCTTTGGCTGTGCATGCTTGCTCAAGGCTCTGGAGATGCCAAACACAATTGAAGGTAGGAAGATCACGCTGAAGACAGGACTACTGAAGGACTTCCATGCTGTTCTCGTCCTGTTAGTAACTAGAGGTAAAGGGTAATCTAGCTCCTCATCTGCTGGACATCCTATTGAAGCTCTGTGTGGGATTATCAAGTTGTTTGCTTGTTGCCGTTGTGCAGTTCTGCAGTTAACCCTTTCACTGCCAAAGATGAGCCTCACTTGTCCGGCGACGTGATTTTTTTTTTGGTGGTTTTGAGCAAGCTGGGAGCACGAGAACACAGCCGGCTACACTTAATTTCGCGGTACACTACCAGTATAGCCAGGGCTATCTGTCATCATGCCAAGAGTTGTACAGCAGTTAAAGAATTAAGAAATATTGGGGAGTTTTAGAGTAATATGTGCAATTTCGGCGCGCACTATGCAAGAGTGATTTAGAATAGTGTTTCTCTGCCGCAATGCGAAAACACAGAAATCCTAGCATCTCGCGCTGGCAACGCCGCATGAGACGATAGCAATCTTTATTTCACACGGGAAATGCTGTAACTTGAGAGGAAAAAAAAAAAAACGAGCTTTTTGGTTTAGAATAACTTTTTAGATTTGTTTAAATATGAGAATGCAACGCGAGCAGTCGACCGGTCGTGTCCACTTGCGTCACCTCGGCAAGAGGAGTGGTCCCGTGTGTTCACCATCGTACAACGCAAGCAGCCAGCAATCGTTGCCCACTTTGCTGGGTCTTCCAAACTGTTTGTGACCTGCACCTCCCGTAGGAGTGCAATGTCATCGTGTATTAAAAATCACGGTCGAGAGGATGTTGCCAACGTCGCGCTCACGACAACCGCCAAAGCGGTCGCAGACGCGGTCCTGGGAGCCGCCGTTTTACAGCAAAGCTGTTAAGGGCTAGGTCCCACACTATCATGTTTGTGGACAAGCGGCGTGCCGACACAAAATTCGAGCCAGTTCACTGTCACCCTCACTCTCGCACGACGAGTAAAGCCGCCCATTGTGTTCTGTGCCGTCTCTCCCACAACGCTGTCGGTGACGAAGCCCAGCCGGTCTATTGTGCTGTCACGCAGCTTCACCCTCTTCCCCGGCGTCCGCATCAGGAACCACCGGCATTCGTGCCATCGAGCACGCCCCGTGATTGGCGCGGCCCTACTAGAATAAAACGTCATTGTCTCACCTACCAAGCGTGTGTGTCCTGTGTCCCGTGAAGTCATATTGCGCTATCGCTCTTATCAGTTGCCCTTTGGACTCACGATGGGTCGGCCGCATGCCGTTTGTTCGGAGGAAGAAGAGCGAGAGTGCAAGGAGGCGGCGACGTGTGCAGCAGCGTGAATGGTTGCACAAACGCCACGAAGCCGCTATCGCCTCAAGTTCCACTGCGTCGAGTGGTTCCGAATCCCCTGCGAAAGAAGAGCAGATCGCTCACCTGGAACGCCACCGAGAACAGAAGTGGCAATGTGATTGGCGCTGACGGGCCAATGCCACGCGCCGACGGGCCAATGCCACGGACGACGATCGTGCCACGGAAGCCATGCGCAAGCGCGAGGCCTGGCGATGGCAAGACGCCACGCCGACTGAACGGTCTTATAAATACTTCAATCCCACCATAGTACAGCTTCGCTGGTCTTCCATCTTCACCGAAGTGGAAAGGCTGAAAGCTCTTCTACTCTCTCATCTTGGCTTTAGCCAACTCTTCGCGCATCACAAATCCTCCTTGGAGGAACGCAAAGACTCTTTGCATATACACGCTCAATTTCCAAGAAATAGCGCACACAAAGCCCAAAATGCGGTTAGCGTTCAGTGCATGCACGGTGACAACAATGCTATTCTTTGCATACGCATTTGTGCACCCTATTCTAAAACTCTTTGCTGCCACTTCATTGTGCACAAGTAGTAAAACCAAATTTTAAAAAGTTCATTCAAATCATCAACTGTCGCTCCAGTATTCTTCTCTTATATTTCTCCAGGGTCTGGATTGAACACCCTTGTGGAGCCGATGGTCTGGCACTACTTCCCTCAATCAGAGTTCAGACTCAAACAAAGTAAGTTGTTTAAAGGGATACTTCAACGAAATTAGAAATATTCCCGTCGTGTTCAAAAATAGGTTGAATATGATCCAGAATATCCGTAAATGACAATCGCACGTTTGTATTTCGAGCCTGGTGGCTGTATTTTTCGTTATAAACGGCCCACTCTAGCAAGCGCTCAGAGAAGGCCCAGCGGAGACCACGTGACATCCAACGCAATCGTGACGTAGGTCGTCTCAGGACGAGCAAAGCTACGGCGAGGCTGACGTCGAGAGGATGGCCTAGTCATTCCAGTCACCAAAGCGGCTGCTTTTGTACGAATTTTGAGCGTCGGGTTAATGTTCTGTAATCTTGTAGGGGAGACAATAGCGACTTCTGCGACACACAAAAGGCATTCTTGGGAAGAGGGGTGTTCCTCCTGCCCTCTTCTCTCGTCGTGGCCGGAGGCGAGACAATTTCCATCACTAGCTGTCAAGGTTTCTAGACAAGCATTACAAGCGAGGCGTTAGCGACATCCACCAGGTGATCTTTGCTAATCGTTTAATTTGTTTTAAAATTCCTTTTCGTGACTTTTTTTACCAAGATATTGGTATGTTCGACGTGATGCTGCTCCTTTGAACACATATAGACCAAAAAATGAGCGCCAAAATTTCGTTGTAGTATCCCTTTAAAGTAGCTTTGTATGTCAGGAAACAGAAGTAAATGCACTGTAACTGCAATTAAGCATTCATGGTGCAAAAATATCTCCCCGGCGGCAGACTGTTCTACCGATGCTCATGCTGTCCGATTGGTTTCAGATCTGTGGGACAAATACCTGGCGATGTTCCCGAATATCTGGATCACCAGTGCGTTCAAAGGAGCCACGAAGATTAATCAGATGCTCACACCAGCTTCGTTCCACATCAGCAACCACGAAGCATGGAACTGCGTCCTCATGGAAAACGTACAGCATGCAAGCTCTTTCAGGGGCATTGCCCTCTCCGGATGGCAAAGGTAAGTCTTTACATAAGTCTTTTATGGTGTGTATTATTATACTGAATGCTGTTTCATTGAACATTATTTAAAATGCGATGTCCTCGCAAATGCACTGAATTCTTCCTATGCTTTGTGGAAGCAGATTCGACAGGCTAGCCGTATTACCACCGGTATCAGTAAACCAGTGAGTAGATAACTTTGCTCGCAGGTATTATGCTCTTCGAAGTGCACATGGCCAAGGCTCGTAAGTCAGTAATTCTCGTAGTGCAATTAGCACTACGGTGAACCAAATCTGAGGGGTTCGAGCATCGTCACGAAAAACCATGCAGCAATAACATAATCACTGCACTGTCACAGCATAGTGGATCTCATCCGACATTTCCCTTCTTTTGAAGCTCTCTTGGCCGGTACACAAAGGTTTGCTTGCTAAGCAATTTTCACTAAAACTTGGTTCCATAAAACATTCCAGGCAGAACTTCATTCAACAAATTGGCTCTCGTCATAACAAGCTTGTTGCTTTGCAGCGACTCTTTGTAATCTCAAGCCCATGCTTTCCGATAGCAAACAACTTGCAAACTTCAGCAAGTTGACCACCCCCCCCCCGCAATTTTGATGTGGTTGCTCCAGGCCTGAATAACCTTTCCACCCTTGAAGGTTTGACCACTTTACGATGTTGTGCGAGCTCCTGCCAGTGGCCCTCCCGTGTCTGGCTCTGTGCCTCAAGACCGTCATAGAAAGATCAGGCAAGTCATGCAATCCAGCTTGGGCTTTGGAAGAGCTTCCTCTTTCGATTGAGCAAGTAGGCTTTGTGAATGAGGAGCACTAATTATATAGCAGTGTCCAGTATGTGGCCTTTTCGTTATTTTTTTTAGGCCTGACAGCAGAGGCCTGCAACGACGTTGCGCAGGCCATTGGCCACTATGGAAGCATACCGTTGGACGTTTACCCAAGGTACCATCATTTACCGTTCATCTGCAACTCCCCGACTGTTCTTGTAAAATTGAAGGGCTGGGGTCCCAAAATTAGTGCATTCCTCAACGTTGACTCCGAGATAGGACACCTAAATTATCAAGGACAGCGTCATTTACCCAGTGTAGAAGAACGAGTAGGTTTAGCCAAATGGAAACCTTTTGATTGGCATAACCCTGGAACGCATCACATTCTTCCTTCCAACTTTATTTTATCGGAAAGAGAGACCATAATCTATTCGAGGGAACTGAATGACGTTTCCTCAGAATAAAGGTGTCAATTTTTTTTTAATTTCCTTGAGATAAAAACATTAATTTTTCGCTGTAAAATAACAATTCAATAAATTTAGCGGTACTTTTTTACCCAAAAATTTGTGTGAATGAAACAAAACTTTCTCAGTCAAATTTAACAGAATAAGCTTTTTATAAAATTTTTACTCATGTAAACTTTTACTTATATACCTTCTGAAACATGACTAAGGAAGCCATTGATGGGCAAAATACAGTACACACCTTTCCAAAAGACGCTCCTAGGCCGCCGCCACGTTGCAGACAATGATGCAGCTGGTGCGACTCTCATGCCTCCGATCAACTAAAGATTTTCTGCCACTTTTTGACCCTGGAAACCTGTTGAGCACGATTCTCGACCCGTATTTTGCAGTTTTGCACTCAGTTTTCTGGCCTCTTTTGAATGTTTCCACTCAAATTTTCTTATGCACGCTGCGCATCCTTTTTGTGTCATCTTCAACTGTGCCTGCCATTCAAGTGTTTCTGTTCGACATTTTTCACGGGAAACGAAGGAGGGCAGGAGGGGCAGGACGTCGAACGGCCCTCGACACTATCTTTCAAAGAACGACGACTGTTCTCTGCCCTTCCGGAGATAATCCGCGTAGAGTCCTTTTCAGTCGTCACCTGAAATAGTCGTTCGGGTGGGGGTTGGGGTCGGGCAAGTCGGCAACAGAGGATCGGGTCTGTTCCTTTGCTTTGGTGTGAAAAAATTAAGTTCTCCCAAAATGTGCCCCAAAATGAAGTCCTTTTGGATTCCATCTGATCGTCAAGATGCGACTGTTGTCGACACTGCGGTGCCGTGTCATTTGAGGTCATTCTCAAATATATCCTTTTCAGATAATGCTGCACAGTTAAAAACAGTCGTAATCCCGAATTAAAAGATATTGACCGGAGTTGCTCTTTAAGAAGGTTGTTCTTATAACTCGGATCAGAGCAATCCCGTCGGGAACGCATTTAAAAAGGATACGGGCCATGAGTCCGATGACTGTGCTTTTCCTACCGTTTCAGGCCTCGTGCCGTGCCCCCGGCACCCAACTTTCCCGGGGGCAACCTTTACGTTTCGGTCTTGCACCTGGCCAACGTCATGGCAGAGCTGGAGCAGGTTCTTGCAAATCCGAGGCAAGTTTGCGGCACAAACTCCGGTCGTAGTCCCGTCGTGGTGCCTGCAGTGTCGCTCTGGCTGGCATAGTTTACCGCGTCCCCAAAAGTGGTCCCTCAATTCCCGCCCCGACGACGTCGTAGAAGTGTCCTGCCGACGTCGGCCGTAATCCCGGCGGTGGCGGGTGCAGCAGACGCTCATTCCGCTGCGGGTCGTTCTCCAGCTTGGCGTTCCACGGAAGCTCCGGCAGCCGGGAGTTGGGACGCCACGATGGCGGAGACGCTTTCGTCTGCTCACAGTGTTTTGACGGAATTTGTACGACCGATTGCCAGGATGGCGGCGTCCGACGACGTGACACGCCAGCTTCTGCGACGTCGTCCGTCGTAACTTCGGAACCGCTTTTGATGTACGCACGGAACAGTATGCTAAACGCAATGGCTATGCTAAATCTGGCTGGCCTAACGTAATATCCCCAAGGATAGCCCGAGAGATAGCCAAGCTAATATCGAGAGTGAATCGGGTGAAGGTAAGAAGTGGGCTAGCTTTCAATGTACAACTAAAAAAAGTTTTTAAAAAACGCTATTTTTAGATAATGTTTTTCTGCCAAACCTGTTCATCGCAGCAACGAAGCAAAGACAACTGTACTTCCCAGTCGGCAATGTTCGCTTTTATTCCGCCACAGCTACCTAGCCGCATTTACGCCGAGTTTATCGTTGATCCGAACACTACAATTACCGGGAGTGGGCTATTTTTCGGTGTTTAAAAGGAAATAGCAAATCAAGCTAAAAATAGGGAGCGGGTAATCTTTGGGGGGTGGGGCACCTCTCAGGATACTACGGTACTCAAGCCAAGGTTTCGAGTCAAATCCTCTCTTCCCCGTTTCTAGCGTCCAAGGCGGGTTCCACGAGTACCTGGTGGCCCACAATCGGACGAACCCACTGCACGTGGACCAGTTCATCAACACCGCACGAAAGTATGTGGACTTTCACAAGCGCGTCCAACAAGAATAGTGTCGTGCGTGTTGCCTAGGGAGTGGTTGCCGCCTTTTGCGGTGTGAAACCGAAGTTGGTTAATGTTTTAGCGAGTAACGCCTGCTATCTTAAGGTGCAGCTAAGAAAGTGTTTAATTGTAAGCACTAGAGTCACTGATATAATGAGAAAAGCAGGGTGTCAATTGATGAAAAGAAGCTTGCGCTGGAGATGAGGTGACTGAAGGGCCTCCATGCTGTTCTCCAAACTAAAAAAATAAAAAAAATATTTAATTGCCATTTTTTTTTGGCGTGCAGTCATCTTGGGGCAACAGGGTTGCCAACTGCAAGACTGCCCGCAAAGTCTCCGCCGAATAATCACCCCAACGTTTCTTCTTCCAATTGGCAGGCTGCTGGTGAATGTGGAAGCACTGTACAGGGACATCACCAAGGAGCTTTCGGAGATATATCACCAGGGCACTGTGGAGGAGTGGCTGTCCACGTACGTCAGTCCCTGCCGCGAGAAACTCAAGAAGCTCGTGAGCGACGCCGACCTGCAAATTGCAGTCAACGTGCCGGTGTGATAGACGCATTGGCGAGCGCCACCCACGTCCCGGCACCGTGACACGGATGTGCACGTTCAACACGACATGCCGTGCCCCTTAAACTGTGGTCGTCTCCCCCTGCAAAGCGACGTTCGCTTGTCCGAGAACCTGCCGCAAAAATTATAACCTCGCGCGACGGTGGTAGTGAAAACAGCATTTTTTCCGCTTGGGGTGAAAATCGGGTCGGTTTGAGTCGTTAAGAATGGCTTCCTTCGTAATGTAATACTGTTGAGAAGCCACCATATTTGTAAAAAAGTTGCCATGTGCAAAGGGCTAGCCTGCCTAGTAAACTACCCATCAAACATAAAACTTTTGCCAAACACAAGGGTTTGTAAAGTTCTGCCATAGCTTGTCTCATTGTAGCTACCCTCTTCTTTTAGTTAAACGTAACTTGTGCATGCCATGGGATAGTGTTTCTCTGCTGGCTAGAGGTGGGCACCCACTACTTTTGAAGTAGTCGGAATTACCGAACTACTTTTAAAGCAATTATGAAAGTACCTGCATAGTTTGTTAGCTGTAATGTGGTTCAAAGGACAACCTGCAGTTTTCACTCCAGGCTCCTCCCTTTCTGTGACCGAGCGACCCAAATTCAAGAAAGCTCCATCGAGTCTCCCAAAATGTTGCTTTTGCATCTGTCTTGCCTCCTTCTCCCGTTGCGGAACATAAATGGGGAGAAAGCAAAAAATGTTTAGCCTTGCTGAAGAGAAGTCAGTCAGGGTTATTTATAGTACCGTACTTCAAAAGTAGATGCCTGTCTCTGCTACTGGGATCGCCTGTGGCAATGCAACTGCTGTGCAGAAAAAGCCAAGTCACTAGTCACTAGTGAGAAATATGTCATTTGTCATTAAAAATAAAAGAAGCTGAAGCGTGCAAAGAATGTTATGTTTGCAAGGTTCTTGTAGGCAAGCACAAGTTAATCCTCTGCGCTCGGGCATTTGCGTTAAGAGTTCCAGCTTATTCTCAAAAACGAGCTACCCCAAAATGAGCAGAAATTCGCAGAACTACAAAGGTACACGACATAAAGCCAACGCCTAAATCGAGAGAAACATGCTGCGGGTTTACGACAGTGAAGCAACTTTAGAACACGGCTTTCTTTCTGTTTCCACATAATATCCATTTTTTGTGACTGACATCTCTGTTTACTTGTGCTTGCCTGGTATGTATGTATTACTACCACCGGCTGCAATTAAATAAATTAAACGTGTACAGTCCACGCTCGCGACTCGTATGTTTGTACGTCAACCAAGGGAACAAGTCGTACGCAGCAGCAGAAATTTATGCATGAATAACCATACAACTGCCAGCGTCGCATACATCAGTAACAGGTAAAAAAAGAAAAAGTACAGTTGTTGAGAATTTGGTATATCATGTCCTTCTGTCAGTTGGATATTGTCGTCCCTGGTGTCATCACTTTCATGCGGATGGCAATTCATGGTTACGGAACGTGCAGTTGCTTCGATGCATAAAAACGGCATAAGAAAGAGCACTTCGAATAATAAATAAGCGAACGAGCAAACCACAACCGAATGCCTCTTCCCCTTCCACAACGATTTGAGTAACACATTCAATTTGTTGCTCGTGAAACAATTGGGAGACGGGGTCGCAGTGAAAAGACCCAGGGCGAACTGAACAACTTTGCAACTGCCGCCTCCTCGTTGCTGCGGCCCCAAAACTTCGACGACCATGTGACGAGGGTCAAGGCATCATTCGTGTCTTTGACATCTGTTCGTTGTGGTCCGGGCAAAAGGAGGGAGTTCAGATTTTGACCACTTCCGCAGTTGTGTCGTTGACGATGCTACCGGAGTAAGAGCCCTTGTCGACCGGCCTGACGATGACGCGCGCAAAGGATCCTCCCACCAGTCCCTTAACCATGTGCTCCGGGTTAATGCAGACGCATCCGTTGACATCCTAAGAAAAACAGAAAAAACAAGTCAAGCGCATGCACGCACAAACGGGCCCAGTCTCAGCGCGGTGGGCCAAGCTATCCAATCCCAAAAAGCATGCGGTATGTCGATGGTTGAGTGGTACTGCTTAGTGCCTCGGGGCATTGCCACTGTAATATAGTTAGTGCGTACAAATCGCCCTCACTGGGCAGAATTACTAATACAGCGCCATGCCTAATTCTTATCACAAGTAAAGTCCCTCGTTTCAAATTGAAGCGCCGATGTAGAACACACCTGCCACACTCACAGAAATCGGCGATTGCAAGCTCACAAAAAGGAAACCACCTTAAAACCAGCCGAGTTCACTTTGTCATTCTTTCGGAACCGCAAGGCGGAAATTCTGATTTGTAACAAAACAGAACGGAAAAATAGTGTGCCTAGATTTGATAGGGTAACCGTTCGATGGCCACGTTTGAATTACAAACTGCAAGAAGGTGACGAAAAGAAGAAAGCACGAAAGCGTCGACGGGGCAGGCGCCGTCGCTCTTCCGTTTGCTCGCCTTCTTTCCACGTGACTGCACAACACATGTGCACTTACGACCAATCTGTGTAGGAGCCGTCTCCGTGGCTTCAGTTTGGCTTGCTTCCTCTTTTAAGTCTAGACTCTCTAAAACAGGATAGAGAAACGGAGGAATGGATGCATAGCGGCAGTTGGACAGTGAGTTGCGCCACCTAACCACGTGTTTTTTTTCTTACTTCAGATTATATTGTTTAAGCCTGTTTACTCAGATTTCACAGCTATCTGTTTAGTTATATAAAATCAAATCCCAAGTGTCATTTTTCTCCCTTAAAATTGAGACCAAGTATCGCAAAATGCCCCTTTTCTGAAATATATAAATATAAAAAAAAAGGACAAGTCGCAGTATTAGTTCATGCTTTTAAAGAGAAAAAAAGGCACACATGGCTGTAAGCTTGGGTTTTTTGTGACGCTTAGGGTAGATTGATTATGTTTGCGCCATAAAATATGATCTTTAGTGCCCAACGTCTATCAGCAGCTACTTTTTCTTTTTTTCACCGTAATTTTTATACATTTGAGCTTTTGTTCTGTATGAGATGCATATTCTGCACCAGGTGCATACTCTAGCTGCACATATAATTATCTCCTTCACAGCACACTTTGAAAAAATCCTACAAATAAAATCACTATTCGGCATTCAAATCGATATTTGGCTTCTGTTTTTTAATTTGATTCGGTGTTCGATTCGACAACCACTATTCGGTATTCGCACACCCCTAGTGTTTTTGTAATTCTGATATGAAAATTGCCAAAAAAGCAAAATTTAACGTACAAAAAAAAATTATTCCCAGGCACATTGGATTTGGATACTTTGAGAGTGAATCGAGCGACACAGTAATGATTCTGTGATTGGTTTCCACTTGCATTGAAAAATTCCAGCACGTTAATCTTGTAATGACAATACGGTGGGTACAAACCCTAAGTAGTTGTATGAAGAAATCAAAGCTAAAAACAGCACTGGCAAAACGGCTATTTTACAAAATCCAAATAGCACAAAATTCCTTTAGGAAATCTTTGGGTGCCCCTGAAAAACTCGGCTGCTGTGCAACGTGGAACAGCATCTGTTATTTTTTTTCCTAATGTGCCCATATTAGTAACCCCCTCGCCCTATGCTGGCCCTCACCTTTTTGTGGGTGGGCTATCTGGCTCCCACACTCAAATGAGTTTGAGACCCCTGATCTGCATTATTACTCAAAAGGCCCACTCAACTGGAGCATGGTACTATTATGACCCATTTAAGCAGTCCATTTAAAATCCTACCATGTTACTCAAGTAGTCCGTGAGCATCGTAAGGTTTCGCAACAATACTGCAGCTCCCGGAAGAACAAGCGCCAGTAACTAGAATGTGCGAATAGTAATTCAAATCGAATAGCACTGCACCATTTGTAACCTTCACAGTGCTAGGAAAAGCCAGGGCATAACAACTCTCTTTACAGCATTGAAGCTATGGATGACACAGCGCAATCTGATCCAAAGAACGATTTGCGCACCTTATCAATGACATGATTGGTCTCAACCACTGCCGAATTCATAGACGAGACCGAACCTGGAGTTCCACATAAAACCTTTCTTTCCTCGCAAGTTGCGTTTGAATTCACCTTGATGAAATGGCGAAGCCCGGAGGGCAGCACAAGCAAGTGTGGCGTGACTTCAAGGCACCCGCTACTCTCCAACGAACTGATGTCGACATTGACGCTTTCGGACGGCGGATAGAGTGGATAAAAACTGCAGAGAAAAAAAAAACATGCAATGAAAGTTGGCACAATAAAATTCTCTTACCAACAAACTAGCTTAAGCATGCAACCGCATCTCACCTGTGCTGCGTCAAGACGTGCTTCGCAAGCCGGGAAAGTCGGTCTGACGAGCCAGGCGGACTACAATCAAAGGGGGAGGGGGGAAACATGAAGCGCAGAAAGATTGAATTGCACGCAGCCACAGTAATGCGCGAGAAAAGAATCTCATAGAAGGATAGAAACCAGGGTTGCCAGGTGTTTCTACTCTGACCCGCCAAATTTCAACGAGATATAGCCCAAAAATAGCCAAGTAAACAAAATTGAAGAAAAAAAAACACTGACCTTTTGAAACGTTTATTTTAAACACTAGACACATACTATGTTTTTATGCATCAAATAGAAATTCATGCCACTATTTCTTGCAGCACTGTTCTTTGCCCCACAATCCCAGTTTAACATACAAAATGTTCTTCAGTGTTTCCATCGACATCCTGTTTCGCAAGTCCGTCTTTGTGAGGGTGACCTGACTGTCGCTTTTGGTAACGTAAGCAGTGATACGGCCAGTTGCAATAGCAATGGAAACATGTTGTGTGCTCTGCAACGGTACCGAAATGCCCCATAAATGGCGTTCCTTGGATGTTCGGCAAACTTTCTGAAACGCCTGTACAAGCACATGACAACATACCTTTCACTGTATTAATGGGATGCTTAGTATCGGGGCATGGTGATCAGAATGACGTCACGGGAAAACTATGCAGAATTAAACACAAACTACAGGTTACGCATTACAACAGACAACCTAAAGAATGCGCAGAACAGGTGCTGTTGGGGCCTCAAGGAATTGCACCGTCACTGGTTGAGATGGAGGATCCATCTCAACCAGTGAAACGTGTCCGAATGCAAGCACACGCTTGCATTCGGACAAGATTCGGGGGTAAACAATTGCACAAAGAGCAGACGAATTTGCTTGCTGTCGCATACTTATCATGATTAACAGACTGAAGCGTCAAATGTTTACATAACTTACTCTAAAAATACCATTCTTGAACCTATAAACCCAAGTGCTTTGAGGCATTTTCGTATGCCCAGGTCAGAAATAGCCCAAACTAGCCAAATAGCCAACTACCATTTTTCCCCGCCAACTACAAATAAAACTAGCCCAATTTGGCTATTTATAGCCCAACCTGGCAACCCTGATAGAAACAGACAGATACCGCGTCGATAGGTAACCTATCGACGCGACAAACATGCTGGGTTACAGCGACAATTCGGGTCGTCATGAGTAAAGGCCGGTTCACAAATTTGCATTTCAGTGCGATCGACTGCGTGACGACGACTCAGAATCGCCTACGACGAGGGGCCAGTGGTGCCATCTACTGGGCTGCACAGGAAACAATTCCGGCCTGCACATTACAAGACCGAAGATGTTTCACCGCTGGGCACTCCAAAACACTGCGAGATCAACGGCGTATCGACATTGGGCAAAGTGGATAGAGGTGGGCAGAGACTCGAAATCTACAGGTGAGGTAGGTGGGGGCGACGTACAAGGACAGCTCCTCCTTGCCCATGTGCAGCAGAATGTCCACCCCCGTGACTCCGACGACCACGCCATTGATGTCGAGCACGCACGGGTCGGGGACGCAGTGTATCCTCTGCGCAGAAAAATCGAGCGTGACTCTCGGCCGCTTTCCGTGTGGGGACGTCAGTTTTGGGTATGGTCCGCCAAAGTGAACGACGGCGTGTTTGGAAAGTCGCGTCCCCACGTCGCGTACGTCGGCGCTACATGCACCGTGGTCGGTTGCAGGTTAAGAAAAATGAGACAGGTCCCTCGCACAAAGCTACACCTTTACTTTTGGCAGCCGTCACGTCAATATCGTTACCATACAGGGCATTTCTTTTTTTCTTTTTTTTTTAAGCTTCCAGTTTTGTATGGAGAGGGCCGAGCAAGTTGCACTGATGCGGCCTGCGCAGGTGAGTTATACGACCAGGGGGACATAGTATAGGTGGCTAATTGTAACGATAAGCTGGCTAATTAACTAAAGGATGTTAATTAATGTTTTAATAATTAGAAATAAACATGATTCCAATTAGAGACTTGCTGAGCGTCATTGAAAACCATGAAATTAGTCAATTTTAGAAAGACTTGGAGCGTGTGGGAACCACAGTAAGGCGCCAAGAACCACTTACACAACAGGTGCGAGGCTACCTGTGCGATAACTTGCCAGCGCAATTTTCATGTCGCTTGTCATACATGTTTTCTCGTTGCCAGCTTTGTGCCCATTGCACAAGCGATAACTTCAGCATGCTAACGTGCTTCCCACGCACTCATTTTCTTCCTAAAAATTAACAGATTTAGTGGTTTTCGATGACACTCATCAAGTTTCTAATTGGAAGCATATATTTATTTATACTCATTAAACTAGCTAATAACCAATTTTAGTTAATTATCCGACATATTGTGACAATTAGCCCCTTTATAGACCAGTGTCTGCTCTGATCCATGGGCGCCACCATGTTTGTTTATGCTGACGCCACGACACAGAAGGTGGGCTGCACTTTTTGCAAGACTCCATTTTTTTAGAAACCTTCGCACATAATTATAGTGCAAGAATGTCAGAAATGCGTAGTTACGACGCTCCAAGAACAACACCGATGCCAAGAGTGCTGTTAAAAGCAAAATTCTTGTTTTATTATTTTCCATTTTTGTCGCTGGGGGCTAGGATTCCGGACACTGGTTTATAACATGTCCCCCTGGCCGCATAGCTTGTCTGCACAGTTCGCATTAGAGTAGCGTTCATGGATTTTTTTTTTAAACAAATCTGTAAAGCCTAGAAATAAAGAAACACTTCTAATAAGTTGTGAATGCAAAAGCATGAATGTCATTCTTCCGCTCCCTTAGTTTGTCTGCGGCTTACTGGCGTGAACGGCCACGTTTCGCCACTGCCGAAGTAGCGGCCGACGACTGAGCGCGTGCTCTCGTGAAATGGCCGCACCGCGCTGCGCTGAGCTCAGCCGTACAGCCTCTCTGGAGTCCGCCCGAGCGGGCTGTGCGGACAAGCCCGCACTGCCTCATCTCTTGCCGGCGGCCTGGCTGCTGCGTGCACTGCGCCACCATGGGAGAGGGCTTATCTGGTGGCGTTTTATTTAACAACGCCGTGCGAGAGCCAATGGGAGTCTCGTTCCTTGATGAGCCGCGCCATCAACTTTGGCGCAGCTTCAAAGTTGATGACGTCAGTTCACTCCATGGGACAGTTAATGCTTTTGCATTGAAAACTACCATATCACTGAGCAAATATGTTACACGTGAAACGTTCCGGTATCGCTCCGGAATGTTACCGAGCCCAGCGCCCACGTTCACGGTGCTCATCAAATAGCTTAACACATGTCATGTGAACTTTATAGCAGTTCTTAAAATAAAATACTAACGCCAGCCCCCTTTTTGTTTCTCACTCCACCTCGACTACTTTTTTTGGTCACGTGACCTCTCCCGTCAGCCAATCATCATCGAGCTTTGCGGCTTCACGTTTATCTCACCTTCACTTTTGCGCTTTATCAAAATCTGAACACCCGCCTGACTAGACGAAGAATGTTTCACAATAAAACATCCTGTATAATGAACCATACCTATCAGTAGTAAGACCCAACGCAGCTTTTAGTGTCATCTTTCATTCTCTTTAACTTGCCAGACCATCCTTAGACCAAAATGGATGTAGTGTATCCTTTTTACGGTAAATAAAGACAGTTTAACATTAATTTCAGCACTTTGTTTTAAGCAAAGAAAGTAATGAACAGAGATTAAATTAACATAAATGCGGCAAACAAAAAGCCACAGACCTTGTGGGTCTTTTCCAGTCTGAAGGGCGGCGTCGGAAACACGTTTTCGTGATGAACGTCCCTGTGTGACGGCACCAGTACCACTTGTGTTCTTGTTCTGCATAGAGAAAGTACATAAGTATGAATCAAATTTCACACTGTTTTTATTATAACACAGTCGTCGTACGCTTTTCATTTATCTTCGGGCACTCCACCAAAAGTTGAATTGGCGTTGAAAGTTACTTTTAGGAGGCGAAACGTTTTCTTGGAAACCACATGGCGCTCTGGTTTCACTGATTTCGTAGTGGAGTTCAAAGCTCAAGTGAATTGAGAAAATGAAAAACCCAGTTTAATTCCATATTGCAAGTGTTTAATGATGTGCAATTTTTTAGGATTGGAATAAGATTATCCGCAGGTCCATGCATGTGAAGGAGCCAAGCAAACGACAGCTTCCGGATAAATTTATTTTACAAAAATCTGATCTGTACCAGAATCTGGGTGTATGAAACGCCCAGATTCTGGGCGTTTCATACACCCAGACCCAGATTCCATTGGTGGGATCAATAAAATGATCTCACCAAATGGCAGCAGAGATGCCTTGCTCCTACACACTATACACCTTTTACACAAGGGTGCAGCCATCTTGAATGTGGTCACTTCTAGTATGCATTAAAACATTGCTTTGATCTCTCCACGCTGCTGGAAGGTGTTCACGAAAAATGCATGATTGTCACAGATTCTTGTTTTGCCTCACCTATATTTTCTCGCATATTCCAAGTTGAAATGTTTTATTATTTTTTCGTCCCGCATACCAGATACGGAAGCCACGTGACTGAGAATGAAAGGAACCGAAAAACGTCTATATCTGTGATTTGTAGCCTTTCGTGGAGCACCACAGTGATGTCTCGTTAGCATGAACCCTGTTAACACGGATACGACGCTGTATAGACAATACTTTTGTGGACAATCTCGGTAAACATGAGGTTTTGTCTAGTTATTATGAATGACTCACATTATGGGCTTTTTTGGAGGAAACAGACGTCTTTATATTAACGAAACAGGACTCTATTAAAGCCGTCTATCGAGTAATATACTTGTATCGGGCATTAAATATTGCTGTAGTAACAGTACACTCAGCCTGCGGCAGCGTTAAGAGAAAATTTAGCTAGCCACCATTTGGGCATTAACAAGTGTTTGGCGGTGGGTTTAGAAACCAGCAAGGGCAGATTTATTGGGGGGGGGGGGCAACCAGTTGTTCTAAGCTCCCGAAGGTCAACTTTGTTTTAATAAAATCATTGATATACATCAGCCAAAAGTTTAGTTTCTTTTGACATAGCAAATATTGGGTCAACAAAATAGATCTGAGCAATGTTTCAACTGTAATGTCATATCTCAGCAGACTCCACTCCCCCCCCCACGCCAGCCGAAATCTGCCCCCGGGAACCGGGCATAAAAAAAACATGCGATCTCACCCTTCCAAGATGTTTGCCAGGGCATCTATCTGCTTCTGGAAGATGGTCTCGTACAGGTCAGGCAAATTCCCTTTCTAAGAAATAAATTAAAAATATTACAAAAAGGGAAAGGGGTGCTTGAACCTAGCCAACACTTTGTGGGCGCTGCTTCGAACTTTTAGAACACTTTGCACTTCAACTCGACGTACCTGAATAAGCTCGTGGTTGCAGTCCACAAACGGCCCAATCTGACGGAATGAAAGAAAGAAATATGGACATTAGGCAACGTTTGCAGGCCAAGTAGGTGAAAACCTAATCGACGGCACCATGCGGTAAAATAGAGCCCACCACTGTGTCGTCCGCCTTGCATGCATTATCGAGATAATAAATTACTGTGGTCACTGACACGATGAGAAGGGAACTGTCTCAGTTGTCCCACCTCTAGCATGAGCTTGCTACCTTCGAAGCACAGAAGAATGCAACTAGCGCATGATGGAGACACCCTGCAGTTCTGTACAGCGATTAGTGCCCCCAATTAAAAAGCATTTGGTCAGAAACACTTATTCGCAACTCCAGCAAAACGGACGGCACCACGTGGAAAAACCGAGAACCAGCCAGAACAGGTCGCTTTGCGCCTCTCTGCATCTCTGGCGGCTTTCGCGGACACGTGTTGTTGGTGCGGTGGCCAACAATGTGATTTGACGAAGGTCCGAATATTTCTTAAGTTTGCCTGAGTGTTCATTAGTGTGGTGAAGCCTCAGTAGATTGCAGGGTGGCGAGATGCGGCCGAGCGAATAAGGAAATGGTCGTTCCCAAGCAAGCCCAAAAAAAGTGGCGCGACCTTTGTGAAGAAGCCCAAAACAAGCGAAAGTTCAATGAATGTACACATTCTTGAAAACCGTTTATTAATAATAAAATGAGAAAGAGAACTGGCTCAAATACGAAGGCGAACTCGCTCAAATACGAAGTCAGCGTGCCATGCCACTATCCGCCGTATAGTGGCATGGCACGCTGAGTAGCATGCTACAGCTTGAGCTCCAGTTCTGGCATCGTTCTTGGAGGCGACAACTTGGTGAAGCCCATGGTAGTGAAACGTGCACTGGAAAGTGGCCGAGAGTTCCTCATGTGTTTTTCTGTTGCTATGTGCTGAACGAGGTCAGCATGATCAGCACGGATCTCGCACTTGCGGTACTTGCACGCTGCTTTTTTATCGTATCCGGTGTCTGGTCGTAGCCAGTCCTTAAGCTGCGTTTCCTTTTCTTACTTTTTACAATATCTTTTGCCATACTTCGACCACTTCGAAGCCATTTTGCACAAAATACAATGCAACTAGGAGTGTCGCGAACCGGCCGAGGTTCGAGTTCGACCAGGTTCGACTTTTTCGACCTTTTAGTGGAAATTTCGACGAACCTTGTATTGAGGTTCGACTCATGTGCGCATGCGCGACAGGCTGGCCAGTTGGCTTCAGATTGAATGGTGATGGCCAAGGAATGAATTAAGGGCAGCGCTGATTAGTTATTTCAGTTAATACACTGCAAAAAAATTAAGTTATTACCTTTCTCAGTGATTAGAATTTGTTTCTTTTAATTGCAACTGTTCATGAAATAAAATAACCTTTGCATAAAAAAAAAAGTTCTCCAAACCTAGATATGCTTGCATCAAGGTCTGGCCACACTGTCCACAAAGTCGAACCGGTCGAATCTGGTTAAAAGTTCGAAGGTTTGTCGAACCGGTTCGACCCAGTCGAACCTTGGAAAGTTCGGCCTAAAAATCCGGTTCGACAAAAGTTTGCGACACCCCTAATGGCAACTAGACACGACAACCGCAACTACCGACTGGCAAGATGGGCAAGGTGCCTAAACATTTGTGAATGGATAGTAATAGTTTTGTACTTTGTGACGGACGGTAGCTTGCGCCACCTAACCGCTACGCCAAACGGTCATGTTGTTTGTCACTTTTTTGACGACAAATGCGCTGTCAGTGAGCACGACGAGCACTAAAATAACAATATTTGCAGGAAAACCCGAATAAGCCCAAAAACCGCAACAAGCGACTGGAAAAATCTACCAGCGACTCGACGAAAAAAGAAGCCCAAATCCGCTTATAATAAGCGGAACTGGCCACCCTGGTAGATTGTTTCCTTCCATCACATGTTTGAAAGCCCGTTTACTCCACAACATACGGTCGCGTGCTTTAGATTTCTTGGATGGGGACGAATCACGGAAAAACGTTTTGATTTCTTGTCTGTCTCAAATCAGATTCAAAGTGACGACTACGTGGTAACTGATAAGTGGTTTCTTTATAAGGATGTAGAACAGTGGACTGAGGACGACAGACGAGGTGTTTCACTGAAGGGAACACCAATGTTGCAGTCAAATGAATGAGAAACTTCGATAGCTGCTTTTCTTGAGTTTGGTTGTGTTCGATTAGCTTCAAGGTTGAGCCACCCATGCCAGTCGGTGCGTTGGCTATTCGTCTTGGCTGCTTTTCACTGAAAAAGCCTCTGGACCACACCAAAGGAGTTGGGCTGATTTTGCAATTACTTGATTCTGGAAAACCTGCTTGCTGCATACGATTAATGATGGAAATTGTTTGCTTGCAAAAGGAGGGGCATGCGTCTAGCAAAGTTAGAAGCTGTCACACAATTATGATTTATCGCGCCTCCCAATATTTATATTATACCCCGTCAAAGCCAGCAGCAATATACGTCTACGTTGCTCAGGTTGTTTGGCCACAAAACATACTCAATTTCTCCGTTCAGGATTTGAAGTCAAGTTCAATGCAGAGAGGTTCAGCGTGAATCTCCACTGAAGACTCTCTTCAGTTTGTCCGCATTCATCTCCGTGCTGCCGGCTAGAACCATTTGGCTGAATCTAGGTAGTATCTCCCTGTCTGTCAAATATACTTTTATTCAGCAGTTCACCTAATAGCTAGTCAACTAAGCTCATATTTCAACCTGAAGAATATAGTAATAGTATCGCTGGGGTGGCACATAGTATGTAATATAATACATAACCCGCATATTTGTCAAAATAAATTCTCGATTGCTACTAAAACCTGAATTGAAATACGTACGAGTATCAGCTGCTTAGTGGGGCGCCACCGGGTTAACATGCTCCTTGGCTCAACAAGCGGTTGCTTCATTTTCGTAATTTTCCTGCAGCCTGTGTTGTTGACCGAGCAGACGACTGGAGCTGTTTCTTAAACGCGGAAATGCACAAAAGCTAGATTTCACGGACAGATAAGTTGTATGGTCAAGGCAGGCGAGTTAGCTGAAAATTACTCTCAGTGAAACGATTCTGTAGACCTCGCCGCTTGCCTTAGCTGATCAAAACTGATTAGAGTCTATTACCGTCTCTCCGGAGCCCATAGCTTCGGTTTTGAAGAAAATCTCCAAAACAAAAGTTTGACGTGAAAAGAACAAAAAGCACCGGGAAAACAAAACTATTTTCTGCAAGTTTAAGTGTACCGGCTACACCTAACTGTCGCAGTTCAAATACCTATAAAATAGGGCATTAAACAAAAGAAAATCTGTTAAACTGAATGCGCAGTTCAGGCGCCGACACGACCTGTTCCCAGCCACCATGTTTGTTTGGTGGTGGCGCCCCCTATAGGTCGCTGGAGTTGCGAATAGCATAGGGCAACAGCTGCTGAACATTTCTTTGTCTCCTATGTTATGTAGTGCGAAAGGCTTTATTTGTGACAAAGATATTTTGTCTTTTTCTTTTCTTTGTAGGTATATTTTGGAGGAGGAAAAAATAGATACTCGTTGCCTCGCCGGTAATGGGAAGACCCGCAATTTGAATCCTGGCCCAGTCCAATTTTTGTTTTTAAGGCGACTTTTTTACCTCTATTCACATCTGATCGGTACAGTCCATTCATCCGCATATTTTAACTCTTTCCTTCCCAGAAGCCATGACCCACAATACATCTTTGATACATAATACAGTGGAATCTCATTAATTCAAACTCTTATATTTCGAACTCGCGGATAATTCAAACTAACATGCAGGTCCCATCCTACGTGTTTCTAGAAAGGAAACTCCCAATAATTCAATCTTTGCATTATTCAAACAAAGCTTTGGTCCCCCTCAGATTTAAATTAACGAGATTCGACTGCAATACATTCATGATACATAATAAAAAACCCACCATAATGCAGACGTGAGGTTGGTGTTCCGCCAAGTAAGCAGTGAAGTCAGTCAAGGGTTCAAAGCTCAATGTATCCGAAGTTGTGTACGGACCACAAGCGACCACCAAGTGCAGAGGGCCTGAAGGATATTTGCACAAAAAACTGACATGTGAATATCGTCTTCCATTAAAAATGGCTACTCCCACATTTTTGTGCAGAAATGATACAATTTGTAACTAACAAACATTGTAACACAGTCCAGTGACCAAGTCAGCTTTCGGCACAAGCCAGTGGTTTTACATTGTTAGTGTGTGGTTAATCTCAAAGGAAGCATCAAATTCCCAGGATAAATGGCCATGTGGTAAATCCACATCGAATCAGTGGAACATTTTGAAAAAAAGATAAATAAATACATTTGCTTTACCTTCGAGTTGTGGTGCTCCGCTTGGGAACGGAAGCATTTTTCCCTGCACGGAAGGATGATGGCCGCCAGAAAAAAAAAAAACATTTAGAAAAACGTTTTAAGAGCTTAAAGGGACACTGACAATCCCCAAAAAATCATTTACCCTTTCCCAAAAAAACACTAGATTATGATGTCAAGACAATACCTGAAATGTCTCATGCTCTGCGCCAACCCCTGTTTACAAACAAACCGGATGCCCCTAGCGGCACACCACCGGCAACGTGCACGCGCGATGGGGTGTGGGTAAGAAGCACCGCATCATGCATCAACAAATTATTGGAATGTGATGTCAGCGTCAGTGTGAGTCCCGGTGCTCTTTTTCGCGTTCGAATTGTCGATCCTATGTTTTCCTAGCAACGTCTTACCACTTTACTGACATTGCGTAACTAATGTGACCTGTGGCAATTCATTTTGCATGAACGCCGCAGAATGGATGTAAAGCCCGATTCACATGATCAGATTCTGCTCGCTATTTTCAGTTGCAACATCACTGGGGTTGCAAAAGCGTGGACAGTAGCTGCAATTATCGAAGTTGATACCAAAGATTGCAAGCGGAAACCAAGCGAATCACGCATAACATGTCGGGGATGGCCACTGGTAACAATGATCAACATCTCCCTATATCTAGTGTTTACATCAAGCCTACTTAGCCCAAAAACCTTCAGACTCAAAAGTCTTTTGAGGCCCGCACTTACTTCTTATCGCAATTATCGGGTCATTGTTTGGTCTACGGGCTGCTGCTGTTTGAACGATCAGGGGACAAATTTAGCAAGCAGACGAATTTGAAAGAGCAGATCACACTTTGAACGATCCCACGGCCGTTTGAACATGAAGACACACTGAGCCCGGGCAGTCCGGACGATTTGACAATTTTCTCGGATTCGTGTTGGAACAAAACAGATAACTCTGACAACCACAAGTATCAGTGAATTCAACCCAAGGTGATTCCTGCATAAGCAATCGCGGTTCGACGGTGTCTGGTTTTTCCTTTCTACGGCACCTAATCTCGTTCTCGGACAAACCAGGTAGGCAGAAAACACATGAAAACTGATCTTCACACCTTTCCGGCCCTTTTGGTACAGCCCCAGTCATGGCTCTTTGACAAGAAGTCAGGTTTGAGTTTGGTTCATTCCAAAACAATGCGGAAACGCCTGTCCCGCATGGCGACTTCCGCCCACACTCCCAGATCGGAAGTGCACACGAAGGAAGCGCCACCATCGCAGCGTGACATAATGGAGTTGAGTTGGTGTACAGAGTTGGGTATTTGCCGGGAAGACCTAAGTCTATCCGAACTCAAAAGACCAGAGCCGGAGCACTTCAGCGTTGGAGAGCATGGACAACACGATCAGTTTCTTCAAATTAATTAAATATAGGCATTTCAGTGGACATAAAACCTACAACAAATGGATTCTACTTTGTACTTTTGGTAATAAACATACCTGCAACCTCAAAAATATTTCATGCACCATGTGGTACGTCACTATAGAAGAGGCAGTAAGAGCAGACCCGAATGCTAGATTCTTTAATGGAAGTTTTCAGGCAAACAAGGCCAGATCTCGAGCTGCAAATCTCTTGTCTGGGTATTTAGACAGTTTTAGATTGCGTGATTACTTTGTGAGGCGTGATTACTTTGTGAGGGTTCTTTAAAGATGGGGCAGTTGCCGAAAGGACCTACCTCAAGCAGTTCTTCCAGCACCAGATTCTGTCCATTGGCATTGGCACCCTTGGCCACGATTACCTGCAATGGTCGCATGCGTACCAACTCCTAAAGTTAAAATTTCCAAAGAATTTTGGATTATAATTGGGCCAAAACGAATTAATGGTTCTTAAACGACAAACAGCACTTAAAAACAATATTGTGGGTTATGCAATAGTTTTGTTATCTCTCTTCTAGCTCTGCTAATCGAATAGGAGGGAACTGTTGCATTTGGGTTTTGTGAACTGACATATGTTACTATGCAATAACTGCAGAAACCATCTGAATTTTCCAAAAGGAATACAAGAAAAGGACGCCAACTGGGGTTATCACAGCCGATTGCCTTGAATTACCAAGGCTCCAGATATTAACTAACAAAGGATTGTACCGTAGTGCGGTCGTGTATCACTACTGCGTGGTGCACGTTAAAGACCCCAGGCTAGCGGCTGCACTGCACTGGCAAAATTGGTCATCTACAGCGTGTGACGTGTCGCAACTTTGAAATGGCTGAACATGGTTAAAATTGCGCACCACTACACGCTGTATAAATATCCACACAACCCCAATTATTATTAAAGCGTACAAAACCATAAAATAACTAATCAGTAAAACATATATTGCTACATTAGGCCAGAATGTATGCAAGATGGCATAAAAATGACCTTATAACCCTGAAGAGAGAATAAACAAGAAACGACTGGCAACAGAAACCTCAATTTCGAGATTTCTGTTGTGGGTCATTTTTTCAATGTCACCACTTGTGACATTAAAACATTTACAGAAAGCTACAAAAATATACAGTGTTGTGCAAAGCACATCTAAGGAGTTCTCTAAGTACAAAGTAAATGAGAGGGGATGTGCTTCAAGTAAAGTCTTAAATACACTGGGCACGATGTACTTGAAGTACAGTGCTATAAATAGAATGTACTTTCAAAGGGAAGTACAAGTACCTTTTAACACAATCTCTTATGATACCCTTTCATTCCCCTATACAGTGATATTTGAACTGGTAGAAATTGCCCCAGGGGTAATCGGAAGCACATCGCTTATTTACGTAAATGGCAGCGAATATTGGATAAAGTCAAGTGGCCACAGAGTAGTTATTTTCGGAAATGGTGCCAAATTCAGGAATCCCTACGACTTCTGAATTTGGCGCCGCTCGCATTGATTTCTTGCCCCCAAGGGAGTTAAACGTATTAGGAGAAAGCATGACGTCGGCCCCGTAGCTTCCACAAGCAATTCTCTCGTGGATGAGTGTCCTCTCCTTAATGAAAAAAACAGTGAGTGTGCAGGCAAACTTGTGATAATGAATCATAATGTGACACCTGAGACTGTGGTGCGGAAAAATTAAGGAACATTCAAGTCAAAGAAAAAAGACAACAGAGGAGAATGTCTCAAAACATAGAGACTTTCTCCTTTGTTGCCTTCTTCTTTGATTTGAAAGTTTTAGTTTTCCCGCACCACAGTTTCAGGTGTCACAGGTGTCACAGAGAATGTACTCCAAGTAAAGTACAGGTTTTCTAAAGCTACTTGAATTAGTATTTTAAGTACAATGTACTTATACTTCTGAACACTGGAAATATAGCAGACCAAATTGCAGCAAGGTCACTATGTTCAAAACTCTTCCCTAGAATTCACTCTTCTAAGGTTTTATTGTGCACCTATTTGAGAAAATGTGGGCCAAGACAGATTAAAAAAAGGCGGTAATATAACTGCTGCCTACCTGTCCGGGGAACACCGAAAACTGCTTGAGCCTGGACAAATTGAGCTTGACCGAGTGTCCGTAGCTGCTCTTGGAGCCTTCAAGGATCAGCGAGTTTGCATTTATCTTCCCCGAGCTGTCGCACAGGACTCTCCCCGTCACAAAACTACCCTCCTGCAAACAAAATTTGCGAAGTGTTGGCAAGATACACACCAACGTTCGTTGGTAAAAAAATCGAAAAACCAGACATGCATTTTCAGCACTTATATATTGATGTTAAACAGAGTTGAAAGTCTCATCATTGTTTCTGAAATAATGATATATCTTGCATGATTCAATTGTGCGACCAACGTTTCAGAGGCACTAAGGAGATAGTGAAGTTCGCGAAAATCGAGTCATCACAAAAATGAAGACATTGACAGTATGTAATCAAAGTTCCTCCGCCACTTAAAAATATAAATATGCGCAAAGCCACCGTTAGCAATAATGCCAATGAAGCACCACTGGGGATAATGACCTCCTGTGAGCCAAAGAGCAACAAGGGACCTGTAGCTCCCAAGACACAGCCGAGCTCTATCGACGTGAGGGTTAAACTCGGCGCGGACGACCACTACGGGAGACAAACGTGCTGTTTCTTACAAATGGCACGATTAATGCGAAATACATACAGGTCTAGGACACAACACCTCCGAAACGTACAGCGGACTCTTGCTAATTCAAACGTTCTTATTTCAAACTTGCGGATAATTCGAACTAACATGCAGGCCCCGTCCTATGCGTTTCTAAAAAGGAAACTCCCGGTAATTCAAGCTTTGCATTATTCAAAAAAATTTTGGTCCCCCTCAAGTTCAAATTAACGAAATTCCACTGTAGTATTATAGCCATAAAACATAACGTAAAAAATCTCTTCAGTGACCCATAAAAAAAAAAAAAAAGCTAGTCACTGTTGGCCTTAGGAACGCAGGGCACGGCTCATCACGTTCGCACGTCTCGCCTCGTGATTCGTTCCTCGATGTCCCCGTCAACTAATGACGCAATCCGATAAGCTGCGGAGCGACGACAAGACGCTCGGGACTTGCCCCACCCTGCGCTTCTTAAGCCGTCGGTTACTATGGGAACCGTTTTCGAGTTACACTGCTCAAGCTACGCCGCTGCGGCCTGCCCTCACCATGACGACGCTCTTGATGTCTTCAAAAGGCCTGTCCTCCATGTCGTCGAGATACAGGCTGGGAATCCGCTCGGCATAGTCGATCAGGGCGTCGGCTTTCTCTATCAAATTCTCAAACATGTACGAGCTGGAAACCCCAGCACCGAGTGGCCTGACCGAGACGGTGGCACCGTCGGTGCAGTGCCAGTCGGCGGGCTCTCCTTCCTGGTTCCGCAAGCGCGCAACGACGTCGCCGGCGTTGGCTCGCGAGGCGTACTTTGCCGCCACACTGAGTCTGGAGAATGAGGACAAACCAAAACAGGTGAAGATGCAAGGGTGACGAGGTAGGAAGCCTTTTGTAGTTCTAAAACCCGGGATATGAGCACAGTGAAAGATATATATATAGGCGAAAGCGCATAGCACGACAAACGCTGCGACGCGATCGACCGGATAAAGTTCTGTCGGCATGCACCCGAGTAGCCTCGGCCAACAGCATGTCCGCCGTCCAGATGACGCAACTGTGAAAAAAAAGAATGGGGAAAAAAAAGTGTCTCATTCCTATGGCGCTTGGGTGCACACTGTTTCCGCTCAAAGCATCTGCTCTGGCCTTGACGGACGCTGGCTCGAACATTGCGCTAGAGATTTCTCCACTTCAATGTATTCATAAAACTGTTGTTGCTCCCACTGAGGCACAAAACTGGAGTCAATGACGAAGCGGTGTCTAAGCAACATGCGTTACACAAGTGCCAAGTTCTATGTGACATGGCGCACCCATATAACGACTTTAAAACCAAGCGCGTCTCCCGTAGAAAAGCAAGAGAAACCGTGCCAGAGACAGGCTGCCATTAGCCGCATGTCGAGGAGCCATCTGATCGGACTGCCTACAACCAAGGCGAGGAGAGGATTTTAATCTGGCTGCTGCGACGCCCGCGGTGTCCATGCCTATATATATCTTGCATCGTGGATGTGAGTAAGGACAACGACGAAAAAATCGACAGCTGCACGGGAACATTTATTCGAATACAGACCCGCACTGTTTTTGTTTTTAGTCTTGTCTTTTTTGTTACAGATTTGTTTTTTGTTTTTTTTTTAAGCACAGCTCTTAAGTGCTTGTTTTCGGCTTGAGCAACGTCATCGTCGGCGTAACCGTGCGGTGCATTATGAGATGCGTGACGTCACTGATGACGTCATCAATGACGATGACGATACCAATGACGTTAGCAGTGACGTCATCAGTGACAATGATGATGTTGATGATGTCATCAGTAGTAATGACGATGACGTCATGAGTGACGATAACGATGACGTCACACATGACGGCATCACAACGACGATGACGTCACGGTCATCGTCACAAGATTTTACCAGCGTCACGTGACCCCCGTGACGTCCGAGCGGCGTCGCCCTCGGCTCTGAGCGGCATCGCCCTCGTGAGCCGAGAGTGACGCCGCTCGGAGGGAGGGGTAACTCACAGGATGAGGAGGTGAGGAGGGGTATACCAAATACTTTACTAGGGGGAATACATTCCACTCCTATCAAATACAATAGCCCCGGCACGGACAGGTTTTCTGGGCTTAGCGAGAGCCACCTATTGTCGGGGAGGTCTCGGCTGTGGGGCGATAAATGATGATTATGATGATGGTTGTTCTACATACCAAATTCATTGTTGTAGAAATGCTCGAGACACGTGCCGCGCACCACTTCTAGGAAGAACATGGCATCTAAAATCTAGCTCAGTGCTGTGCCAAATACTTGGCTGCGCTGTGCCGCCATGATCTTCCCAAAGGTTGCACGTTGCACGTGCATCGTGCATTGACGCACCTTGTACTACTTTTGAAACATAGAGAGGCTTTAGGTGGAATCGGAGACGACACCGCCGCGGCCACCGCGAACATCCATGTGCACATGCGCGTGGACTGACGCGGACATCCCCTCCGTCAGGGCTGGATTTGGCGCTGTAGGCGTTCTGTCTAATGCAAATGAGCGGAGTGGAATGCATTTCCCCTAGTAAAGTATTTGGGTATACTTTCCCCTTAGTACTTTTCCCTCCTTCTCCTCCTCAAGAGCTGCGCTCTAATTCGGCGTTACAGGGAGTTGTAAACGGCTTTCATTTTAGAGCGCAGCTCTTAGTTTCCAGCTTGAGCGGCTTTCATTTTAGAGCGCAGCTCCGTTTCCAGCTTGAGCGGCGTCGCCGTCGCCGTTGGCATAACCGCGCAGTGCATTATGGGTAAATTGCCCGCTAAATCTAGCAGAAAAATTTCCCCGCTAGATCTAGCGGAAAAATTTAAATCTAGCAGAAAAATTTCCCTCCTAAATGTAGCAGAAAAATTTCCCCGCTAAAGCTAGCGGAAAAATTTCCCCGCTAAATCTAGCGCAAAAGTTTACCCGCTAAATCTAGCGGAGAAGTTCCCCCGCTAGATCTAGCGGAAAAATTTCCCCGCTAAATCTAGCAGAAAAATTCCCCCGCTATATCTAGCGGAAAAGTTTACCCTCTAAATCTAGCGGAAAAGTTTCCCCGCTAGATCTAGCGGAAAAGATTCCCCGCTAAATCTAGCGGAAAAGTTTACTCGCTAAATCTAGCGGAAAAGTTACCCCGCTAAATCTAGCGGAAAAAATTCCCCGCTAAATCTAGCGAAAAAATTTCCCCGCTAAATCTAGCAGAAAAATTTCCCCGCTAAATCTAGCGGAAAAGTTTACCCGCTAAATCTAGCGGGAAAAGTTACCCCGCTAAATCTAGCGGAAAAGATTCCCTGTTAAATCTAGCAGAAAAATTTCCCCGCTAAATGTAGCGGAAAAATTTCTTTGGGGCGGGGGGTCACGTGACCCCCGCTAGGTCACGTGACATCCCCCAGGTAACGTGACCTCCTCCCCAAGGTCACGTGACCTCGGGGGGGGGGGGGGGGGGGGGGTGTCACGTGACCCCCCACTAGGACCCCCCCCCCCCCCCCAAGAACACATGACCCTCAGTACCCTTCCCTCCTCCTTCTCAAGAGCTGCGCTCTAATTCAGCGTTACAGGGAGTTGTAAACGGCTTTCACTTTTTTTCTTTTTTTTAAATTGGACATCAACTGCCATTGAGACCAAGAAAGGTAGACCTGAAATAGCAGCGAGCATAATTACTGAGCCCATCGCACTACCCAGACGCTTACCCATATCAGCCGCTGCTCTCAGCACGGTTGATATGCTCTAGACACGCATGCACTGGTGAGACGCGGCACAGAGGCATGCGGTAGACACGATAATCAAGTGATCTCATCAGGCATACAAGACCCTGGTTCTGACTAACCACAGTAGCCACCCTCCTACAATTTGTACAATTTGGTCATGTTTTCTCGACTTTTAACTCCTGCCAACGCCGACATAGTCTGGAAATTTAGACGATGTCAGCAGTCAACCTGCCAGCGCATTAACCGACCAGCACGGTTCACGAGCAATCTCAATATCTTGTTTCACCTCAATTTAAAGCGCGGTCGCCGCCACGAGCCTGTGAGACCAACCAGCGTCAAAGCGTGACATCACGGCATTCGTCCATCTTCCTGCACATGTTCTTTCATTGACTAAACCACTCAAGTGCAGCAAATGTCTCGTGACTTGCGCTTTTAGGATGTGTCTGTGGTTGTATTTGTTCGAGCCTTCCACTGTGCTCTGACCTAAATAAAACAAACTTCAAAATGAGAAGCTGTGAAATACATATTTGTACCATTCTCCTTTCCTCCTACTTCTCTAAATATTAGGATCAGCCAATAATAAAATGCTTTAATTTTTTGCTCTGACGCGTGGACTGACGCGTCTCGGCCATCTCCGCGCAGGTGCGTCGCAATTCTTAGCAAAACTGGCACTCTGGCGCAAGATGTAGCAGACTTTCGTTCATGGTCAATTAGGCACAAATGGCGCAGTACTTCCACTACTGCTCAGTGCTCTGAGGGCCATCTGCTGTTTTCGTGACAAACAAGATGCCAAAGTACTCACACTTTGGGAGAAAATGATGCCGGCGAAAACAAGGGCGAGGCGCCGGCAACAGCACCAGAGATCCGCCGGGCACTTGGCACCTCTGGTGTTCGTTTCCGCTTTTGCTGTTGATTAATGCAAGCAGAGCAATCAATCAAAATCATTATGATGCCGTCTATAACGGATTCAGGTTGAGTGACTAACCTGTTGGTTCCCTCCATAGCCATCCAAGATGTCATCTTCAGCCCCGTTGCTTCTACGAGAGACAAAAGAAATGCCACGCCGAGAAAGCTTGCACATCTGCGCCAAAGGTTAGCAGCCAATGTTCTGATGATACTGGCGTCTTCAGAAATTTTTCAAGGCTCTCTTACTATTCTTGACGGCAAGAAAAAGAATGACTTGTCGTCGTTACTCACTTCTTTTACCAGCATGTTATTTATTTTGTCACTTATTTTTAGAAACACAGAAAGTAACAGTCGCTATCACTCTAGCAAGCATTAATGAAGTCCTCTTCGCTTAAGCATACTACATCTTACTACAGGCATCATACATATGCCTCTAAGCCAGTGGTCCTCAAATGGAGATCCGCAGATCCTTTGGGGTCCCTGAAGGCCTTCTTGGGGTCACTGCAGCCTTAGACCATGAGTCGAGTCGAACACTAAAACTTTTTTTTTATCGATGCTGGCTGCCCCACAAAGCTAAATAGACAAAACCATGTGCACTGCGTGGGCAGGGTTGATTTTTCTCTGTTTCAGGACTGAAAAGCTGGTTTGCACGCATTTTGTTTCCTTTATTTTTCCTTTTGTCATTGCAATCATCCAATGCCGCCCCCTGCCCTCCCGGGCAGATGGGATCCCCCTTCAATTTGACCAATCCAGAAGGGGTCCAAAACATCTGCGGTTGAGAAGCACTGCTCTAAACCATCGTCAGATTAAGAAATTCCTCTTGTTTCTGAATCACTACAAGATGTTGCTGCTCACACTACGCAAACATCCCTTGATCACCCTGACCACGGGCACCAGCAATGTGGAGGCGGCTTACGCATTGGCAGTGAAGATTCTCGGCACAGGCTTTTTGGAGACTGGAGTTCTCGATGTTCTGGATGCACTCTTTGCCAATTCCTGAGGCGGGAGTAAGAAAGTTGACAGAGCCGCTTCACACCCGACAAATTAATGACAATACGGAGAGCTGAGGCTTCAATCAAGGTGCCGCTAACTGTAACGATAAGATTAATATTTTCTCGAGCTTCACCTGGGACAGGTGTGTGCCCAGTACCGGCCCGTTTAGAACTCAACGATCAGAGATGGACCCATATATCCTGTGTGCGTCAGTGGTATTAAGAAACTTCAACTTTGTTCAGTTGTAAGAATTGAAAATACCGGCCAAGTCACGCAAGCCGTTGCCCGATTCTGAGGACTCAGCCGTTCCTGGTACATCGACGAAAATGAGTGTTTAAAAAAAACAAATAGGAGATAAGTGGTATGCTCATGTGTTAGGGTGCTTTATAAAGGTAGATCTCCATTAAACAACGATAGATTGTGTAATAGGGCAATGTAACAGCGATCACAGTAGGAAAAAGACATATCTGAAGTTCTTTATGGACCGGCAGTGGGGTACTATTGACCCCACTGGCGATCCATAAAGGTCCGTACCTCTAGTTCCATTTGTTCCAGCAACTCCACCGTCATGTCGGCAACGTCGGCGTTCCTCTTCAATGTGTACGCGACCCAGGCCGACGTGATCGCCTCTGCACCTTGTCCGTACACCATGCATAACTCGCGCACTGCATGTCATAAAAGTCGATCATTAGCCCACTCACGATCACGGTGTAATACCGCAAGGAATTATGTACACTTACGTTTCTTCAGGCATTCGGGCGTTACACTGTCCGCACCAAAGATCTCCAACTCGGAAAGAAACGCAGAGTCTTCGATGAAATCCATCGTAAAATAATTTCCAACACCAATTCAGAACCCTCCCATACGCACCCAGAGACCCCCAGTTCCCGCCGAATGAGAGATAAGGTGGCTTGGCTCGGCTGATGTTGTCTAAACTAGGATTAAAAAAAAAAAAAAAACTGGCTAGCTTGTTAGCTTCTTTTAATATTGAAATATTTGAAGGCATTATATTTGAAACAAACCGCTTAGTTTTTTTTTTTATTTAACAGTATTTTTCGGCTTTGGTTTTTTTTTTTTTCGACTTCAACTGACTTCGACTTTCAGTGTCACGTGACGTGAGTAAACTTCGCAACGTGCTGAAATTTCGTTGAAAATTGAGGAAGTTGATCGAGCAGTAACTGAGGGGATGTTCACGGTGTTCCAGCGATCACAAGTATGTCAACACTTTTTTCTGAGACATTATTATCCAACGGACCTCTTATTCACCGACTGATACAAGCGTTGAATCGTAACGATGTCTGGAAATCTCTGGGGAGCGTCATTCCAAGCTCGTGCCTCAGTAGCACGTACGCTCCGACGTCAGCGGACGATCTCGTCTTGGCGCTTCAGAACAGTTTTGTCCGCACATCGGAACTGATACGGTGGCTCGAACTTGTGGACGCAATCGACGCCTTGTTACTTCTAAAGCCAAGCGAACCGGTGGCGATCACTCTACAACCAGAACCGTACCTCCAGCTAGAAAACGGAGAAGAATCCGTTTTGCGGTTGACATGTCGCGCCTCGTCGTTTCCGCCGCCCAAGTACGAGTGGTACTTCAACGGCAAGCCTCTAAGCAGTCGAATTCAAGCTGGGCCCGTTCTCGAACTGTTCAATCTGACGACAGATCACTCGGGAACTTACAAGTGCCGAGCTTGGAACGCGTGTGGCTCCGAGTCGTTCTCCAACGACTGTCAGGTCGTGGTGACTCCGTGTCGGCGTAAACTCGTAAACAATCCACCGACCCTCTACGCAACCGACAAAGTCGCGCTGCTCATCAGTAACGCGAACTACGAACACGATGAAAAACTTTTTCTGACCGAGAATGACGTCGAGAGCCTGGCAAAGTCCTTGGCGGCGCTAAACTTTCGTATCCTCGCCTTCAAGGATTTGGGCAAGCGGGACATCATCAACGCCGTCCGAACCTTCTGCTACTTTCTGCAGAACGGCACGTACAGCCTGTTTTACTACGCGGGCCACGGTTTCAAGTGTTGCGGGAAAGACTACATTCAGTCCATCGACTGCTCGAACGAGTGTTCGGTCGAGGACTGTGTCTGCTTTCAAGATGTAATCGCTTGCATCAAGTCGACGCCGTCGAGTTTCAACCTGATCATGTGGGACGCGTGCCGCGACTGTAGGGAAACATCGCTGGATTCGAGAACTTCCATCGTCCAAACGGATCCCCCGCATGGAAGTCTTCGTGCCCGGCGTAGCTCCGTTGTGGTCTACGCCACGTCCCCGTACAATTCCGCGGTTGAGGTGAAGGGACACCAAAACGGACTGTTCATGGAACATCTCAAGAGACACGTCGGGCGGACTGTTCCCGTGCACAAAGCGATACGCTGCACCCTTCGCGACTTCGAAAGTCACGCGTTGTCCGACTGGCAGATTCCTGTGGTCAAGTACGACATCGCGGGGGACCATTCCCTCTGCGACGCCATCTTGGACGGACCTGGCTACCGCGGCAACGAGGTTTTGTGGAACTTTGTCAGTACGCTGCCTCCGGACGAAGAGTTCCGCGTGACAGAGACCGGACTCCGTCTTCGCGTGACTTTTTCTTGCGATCGTGAAGTTTTCTGTAATTCCATGCTGGTGACGGCTTCCTTGTTGCCCCCCGTGCCTAGTATACACATTGACTTGCAGACCCTCGTGTGCGACGGTGCCCGTGCGGTGAACCTGTCTACAGCCGTCTTACGAGTCTCTAATCTCCAAACACTGGTGTCACCGTTGCGGCTCAGCGTGGTACTGAGGGACTGGGAGTCTAAGAATGTGGTTTACCTGAGGAACTTGCACTGTGGTCACCCGTTGGTTGCAGCCTGGAAGCTTCGCAATTCCGGTTAGAGATAGCCTGTACCATAGCGCGAGGGCTGTAAAGGACTGAAACCTCGGCAAAGGAAGAGGGATATGCATTCTACCTTCAAAAATCAATGGTTTGGATTGTCACCATGGACGTAGTAGCAGCGTAGCCAGCAACAGCATGTCATTTCTAAAATGAATTTCGTGCCATGGAACTTATCTTGCCCACCATGGAGCCTCATTATGGCGAGTGAGTTTATGGCAGTTGTAGGCCGTTTGAATGCAGTGACCTGGCACGTAGCCAGGGAGGGGGGGGGCGGGGGCGGTAGGCACCCATGGGGCCGCCCTTCCCCCGAAACCTTCTATTTTGCTGGGGCCTCCACTCCCCCCTCCCCCTCATACAGCATTTTGTCATGGGCGCCCCCCCCTCCCCCCCTCCAAACAAAATCCTGGATATGTGCCTGGCAGTGACTAGTTTTTTTGCTGTTTTTTAACTGACATTTAGTAGTATCTAACAAGAGTTTGTTAACATTCTAAACAAGAGCAGTAATTAGACAAATGCTCTCAATCATTTGCTAAAATATTTTTTTTTTTTAATCGTGTGTGTTCCTAGTCTTTATGCGATGCCTTGACAATGGTGCCTAAACTACACAATAAAATAAATTATATTCCACACTTTCATTTCATACAGATTAAAGCTTTGTGCTGTCTTGTAGGTTTTTTGTTTCCTGTCGGTTACAGCCATCTTTTATTATGTCTCGGTGTTCCATAACCAGGATGAATGATGGTATGGTTTTAAAATGTTTTAGTAGCTAGGATACTTTTAAATCAAAGCACCACATCCTTTAGTGGTGTCTTCTTTTCTAAATAAAAACTTTAGGTTCACTCAAAAATTTCTCAATTCTTTTGCCTCATTACAAGTTTGACTTGAGTAAACTGCTGCTGTTATGATGGCCAGCATTCCTCATTCTATGATGTTTTCTTGATATACATATCTGTAGGCCATTGGTATTTTCTGCGAGTATTTATTAGCAACATCCCACGCAATTTTTTTTTTTTTTTTTATTTGTTGTGCCCTTTAAGCAACTCGTAAGGATAACAGGAGTGGGCACCGAAAACCAAAACAAGTGTAGCGATGCACCAAAAAAAAAAATAGTATGGAATGCTGTTGGTCCACGGTTAGTCAGTCTCCAAGATATGCATACTGCACGGAAGTAACTGACAAGTGCACACAGCACCGACATCCCCAATGTCAGCAACTCAATAGACATTAACTTTTTCAATGAACGGATGTCCAGCGCCCTGCAGCCTGCTTCCACAGGTGTTCTCCAGCCATTCGACGCTTCAGTGGAAAATGCTAACTGGAGCCAGGCTGCGGTGAAAGTGGACAGGGTTGAAGGGCCCAACCTTCTCGTCGTACGCACTTCTCCAGTTCGAGGAATCAAAGTAGCCATACCGAACTACCTTCCGACGCTCCGCCGCCGTGAAAGCGGGGTTAACTGTGCTCTGACGCATTATGTGCCATATGGGAACCGAATCGAGCTCCTGCTTGGGCCTTGCTTTCATGCTCTTGAGCTTTAGCTCTCGGGCAGTGGGTTTCTGTAGTCGAACAACGTCCGACTTTCCCCCCGTCGCCTTGGCCCGTCGTCGTCGCCTGTAGAGGTAGATGAACCACCGTACGAAGATCTCCAGAATCTCGAAGATGACCAGGAACGAGAGTCCCAAATACATCCCCATGAATCCGCCAACATTGCTCAGGGTTGTGGCGTCCTGGAAATAAATTAAATACGTGCATTGTCCTCAGCCTGAAATTATGACACTCGGAAAACAAAAATAAATCAAAAGTTATCGAATGGGACTGACCAAAGCGATAGAATATTTAATGCGCGTCAGCAAAAGTGGCGCCAAGCCGCCGTGGTTGGCCAGGTTGGCACGGCACATGCGCAGCGCGGACATTCTTGGGATGGATCATTGCTAAGCTATTTCACCGCGAGGAGAGGCGAAAAGGCAGTTGTGCATTGTTTCATGCTCGGGAGGTGCACAGTAAAACACTTTCCAACTCACACTTAGCTCCGGAACCTTGGTGATGTTTTCCACAATTATTGACTCCAGGTATATGACCACTTTTACGAGGGCCCTTGGAAAATCGGGTACGGACAGCCACAATCGTGGATAAAAGATATAGCATTAGTATTATCATTAAATAAATAATTACGCGCGCTTCCTTTTTTTTTTCTTTTTTTTTTTTTTTAACAGTTAAAGTAACGTTACCTGTCATGCAGCTCGTTTTTATTTTCCCCAGGTCGCTAGAAGAAAAAAAAGAAAAAAAGATTTCGTAACTTTCGGAGTCACCGAAGGAAAACAACTTACCAGTCTTTGAGCCCATCCAGTGCGCGAAATGGATGTCTTGTAAATTTCCTGGCTGTTTTGTTTGATATGGAGAGAAGGAGCCAGATAGCGAAGTTGTGACGCGTGCAAGAGCAGGTGAAGTGTGTCTCACCTGCACTTGAGAGGACAGTCGCATCTTTTGAGGCTGCGGTACGATGAATCGGTGAGGATCGTGCTGGAGCAGTTTTTTTCTGGAATGCCACGTCATCATCATCATCATTATTGTTGTTGTTGCACGTGTGTTCATTCATACGTGTGGTTTCCTAACGAGTAACGTACCTATCGAAATAAGTAGCGTAAGTATGTTACCCGTTACTGTTTTGAAAAAAGAACGTGTTACCGCCAAGACTGATTGCAACGAGCTCAGAGACTCTTCAGACTTGGGATAGTTATTTTCATGAGGCCACTGCAGCATTAGATTCAGTCACACAAGCCCTGGATGACTTTGGCAGACCTGAGTTGTGACGTGGATATGCTAGATTTTTTTTAAAATTGTTATTGTTATTATTGTTATTTTTGAGAATGCTACCAGCTCCACTCAAGGAGCTATTGTACGAGTGACTACAAACTAGAAGAATGAGGAGGGGGGAAAAAACGGGAAAGGCAGTGGCACACCAACAGAAAAACTACCTAAAGTACCGAAAGAACTTCATAGCCTCCACAAAGTGTTAAAAAGTCGTTGTAATGGGGTTCGCCAACACGCTGTGAGCTCGTTCTGTGCATGTGCTCCAAACCTCGCCCCCAAATATGGCGTCCAGTGAATACCCGTTCTAAAATTGCGTATTTGGCTCGTCCCAAACGCAGAGGGGCACGCCAATCAAATGGCGACATAAATAACGCGCGATGACGAGGCAACCAATTGGGTGCTATCATTGGTTGAGGTCGGGGAAAAACAAAGGCACGTGGGCGTGTTTAGGGAGTAAACAAACGCACGAGGCGCGCTAGGAGTAGAGGAACGTTCATACCGTATAAACAATCATTCCTGGCTTCGCGATAACTTGAGTTCCTCTTACCTGATGCGCCGTTTTTTTTTTTTTTTTTTTTTTTCTTTTTTTTTTTTCCGACTTTAGTTCTAATAAACGAGACTTCAGTCTTCGTGTGCTTCTTCCCGTAAAGATGTCCAATGTAGAAAATAGTCGTCTTTGAACCTGAAGTCTTTTAATTTCCGGTGATGGTGATACTTAATGCCTGAACAAATTTGCCGTATCTCGAGAAATGTTAGATTAATATTTTGCCGCCATGCAGGGGCTCCGGAAGTATATCTGATGTGTGGGGGTGACGTCTGGGGTCTCATGTCGCATTGTGTATTCCACCTCTCTCTCGATCTCTTTATATATATATATATATATATATATATATATATATATATATATATATATAAAGGGCGGTGGGGTCGGTCGGAACAGCTTTGAGTATGGGGGCATGCCCCCCCCCCCCCCCCCGCCCCTCCCCTGGTATCGAACCTGTGGGGGCGACTGCCCCTCTGGCCCCCCGGTTCCGGAGCCCCTGCCGCCATATCTTAAAAGCAAAGCATAGAAATAGTTCCCAGAACTAAATTACATGGACCTTCGTTATTACATACGCGATTGGTATCACCAGGCCGAAGAGTGGGTTATGTGATTACAATTTCGCTCGAGACTTCTTGCAAGTTCTGAATTATCGTGATGTAAAGAACGTAATTGTTTTTATACGTTTATTTTAGCCTGTTTTTGTTTTGTTTGTGTGTTGTTTTTATTTTGTAAAAAAATACTAAACTGATTTTAAAAAAAGAAGTGGACATAACAGAACATGCAGCCGAGCTGATGAACTTCCAGCGTCTAAAAAAACCGAGATTGAGGAACAAAACGAAAAATAGGGAGAAAGGGAGGGGGGTCTGCATTTTATGTATTAAAAAGGAGTGGGAATGGGCTGTCTCTGGCATTTCCCAAGGGCGTTCCAAGTGCATCCTCTTTGGGCGTACTGTATAGGAGGCCACTCAAGGGCAGATTGTGAGGGATTGGTGAATACAGAGTAGAAAGCCCGCACAGTGTAACGTGACGTCACTGTCAAAGAGTCACGTGGCTAGCTCATGAAGTCACTGTTGCGTGACGTCTTCGAGGCTACTGTCCACGGACGCAAAATCCGTGAGGTTGACCCTAATGCCATGCATCGAAGAATTCAGTGCAAACATGCGTGCTTACGTTTGGTTGATTTGCACTGGTCCGCAGTCATATTTGGAAATGGCGGTAGCTCTTCGCTCACGCAGCCACAGTCCTGCTCGATGGCGCGTTGGGAGCACATCATGAAGCACAACTAAAACGAGAAAGATCCACGCATCGCATCCGTTGTAAAAGTGCGCTAAATTAGAGTAGGAAACGTTCCCCTTTTCGAGGAAAGTCACACTTCAAAAACAAGTCTGGCCACCGTGGGTTGTAAACGCTTTGTTGGGTCACCGGTTTGACAACCTTGGGTGTGCCTTAGCAAGGCTCGGCCTTCGATCGTCGACCAACGGACGACCTACTCACAGCAGCAGCGAAATGGCGGCGCCCAGAGGCCGACTTACAAATGTATAGATAGACCATTCCAACAGCTCGCCTCCCGAGTGCTGTCATGTTTGTTCGCTGGGCTGTGGGAGCCCCAGTGACTCGGCATTTCATAGACATAAAACTGCAGGGACAATGAACAGGCTAAAAACGTCGCGCGCATTGGTCCTACGGAGATGGCAGTTTAATTAGGGTGCCTGGCGCGTCCCCGACCAACACCACCTAGAGTAATCAAAGCCTGCGCAGTAGAGGTGTGACGTCATCACAGTGAGATCGAGCGAAGACAGAGATTGGATACGAGGGTTGTGTCAGTGCTCGACTGGGCCTCGTGTCCAATCAACGCGTCTAAAGACGCTCGGCATCGCGCTCGCGGGTCCAATTGATGACGTCCCACGGAGTGGGGCGTTCGGAGGCCTTCATTATTCCATGGTCTGTTGCAACTCAAGAAGAGCGGGAGGCGGAGTCCTTCCCACTTTCCAGATTAGCAGAGCAAATGCTGGAGAGGAGGAGAGCAGACTCCAGCGATCCTGGCGGTGTTGCAGCAGCGGCAATGCGTGTGGCAGACATCTGCTAATTCTGCTGCACCGTATACGTGACTCTCCATGTGGATGATCCACGAAAGGTTCAGCATTGGGACCTCGCAGCGACAGTGGCGTTCGCAAGCACTTGGGGCATTTATTGCGTCAACCGCCAGGATCGCGACATCTGACAACATGACGTGCCGGTCCCCGTGACCTCATATGTTGCCACATGGGGGCCAGTTTTGATGTGTGGGCGGGATGGGACGCTAAACACACCAGTCGGAGACGCGTTCCGGGCACTTTGTAGTTTAATGTCATCCTCTAGATGTGTTCCGAAGATCTCAGCGGTTAGTCTATCGCGTCTAAGCCGCGCCCACCCTGTATAGATAGATATATCAATCTTTGCACGGCAACGGTCGTACCTGTTGGAAGTAGGTATTGTCAGGTCCCAAGTAGGCTCTCCACATCTCTGGCCACTCCTTGACGCAGCGGTCCTTGTAAGGTGCTGGCAGTCTCTCCATCATCCGCTGTGCATTTTTTTTTTTGTAAAGATATTTATTTGTAGGCGTCGTTTCGGCTTTTTGACGCTTTCTTTTGAATCGGATTTAGCATTAAGAAAGAAATCGGCGTTCACTTCAACGCAGTAAATTCAGGATTAACACAAAACCATAACATCGGTTAAAAAAAAGAAAAAGATACTGCAAGTAGCAGTACACAAAGCAAATTTACGCGAGAGAATGTGCTCGAGCACAAAACACTTGACTGCTTTCTGAAAGCGCATTCCCGGTGTTCAATCGAAACTTTGGTCTCGCCAAATATTGAGGGTTGCGAGTGGTCTATTGGTCTATAGGTTACGAGATGTCGCCGCAGATTATCCAGTCCTCTCAGGGAAGACGTACGTTCGACGCATGTCCTGAACTATTGAGTCTGACGGATTCATCGTAATAGTAGAGCTTATGAATATTCAGCACATTATATTTTTTAGCAGGTTTTCTGCGTGCAAAAGATGCAGTGCATCGGCGTCCTCTTTTTAATGTGTTCGCTGGAACCAAATATTACTCTCTTTAGAAGAAACGGGCTGTCACTCCCTTTGCACGCGACTGCCTCGGGCCCTCACCATCTCGATGCCAATGTAGGTGGTCATGTACGGCGCCAGGTACATGCCGTCCTCGTTGGGATCTGGCCGCACGCCGCGCCTGTGCACCATCACGATCATGCCCATCTCCAGACTGGAGCGAAGGTACTCGTCCTTCTCAATGTCCATTACCAGAGTCAGCCCTGGAGGTCAAAAGAATGCCAGAGACGTCGATCCCCGGATCAGGTCGCGGTGTTGCGCTCCATGATTCCAGTCCTCTTACTCTTAAACATGAGGCTATGTATAAACAAACGCCTACGAATCTCTATTCTCGCAAGGCCCCAGGAGATACCACCAAGGCCCCTTGATGAAAGGGAAAAGCTTGTCTTATAATCATTCGGAGAAACCCGGCGATCGCAGTTGTGCGCGCATTACGCGTGCACAGGGCCAGCCCTATGGGGGTGGGCGACCTGGGCATCAAAAGGGGGCGCTGCCGCGCCCCCCCCCCCTTTTTTTTTTTTATTTGTTTCTGCTTTTCAGTTTATTTGGACACGGCGCCCGTCACGACGCTATATACCCGATCGCCGTTCGTTTTTGGAATGTGGTTATCGTCTGACAAAACGCACGCGTTTGGCCACTACTCAGATGTTTGCTAACAACGTGATGTCGTACTATAGTAGATAGGGGCGTGTAAAAGGGAATGGGGGGGGGGGGGGGGGGCGCCACGGCCGGAGTTTGCCCAGGGCGCTCGATGGCGGAGGGCCGGCCCTGCACTTGCGTTATGATTTATTATTATGCATGCTTAGAGCCCTGCACAGATAATGTTCTGGTCATCCACATCCACAAACTATCCTCATCCGATCCGCATCCGCATACTTTGTATCCGAATCCAAACAGCCTCCGCAAAATTCGGAATTGAAATCCGCCCCGCAATCCGCCCACCAGTGTTACATCATGAAATCAAAGGTACATTTAAATTAAAAAAAGAATGGCGTTTGGGTGGTACTTTTCACACCGTTTGCTTATCTCTGTACAAAGAACTCTCGAGTCAAAATACGGTGAAAGTAATTTTATCGTAATTATTCTGGTTTATCGTATTTATATCATAAGCGATTATCCTTCCAGAGACACTTCGAGTTACCGGAGAGATGATCGCAGTTGAGATCGTCTTGGGAGTCTCGATACTCTGCCCAAAAGGTGCGAACACAAGAAACTTTTTTTTTTCTTTTAAGTCATACAATTTTTTTTTTTTTTGACGACACGTATATTCTATTTAAAAAAAAAAAAAAAAAAAAACTTGAAGGGAAAATTAATCGCTGTAAACTTAAACAATGTTTTGAGTACTCACCTCCGACTTCTATCGTTGGCGCGTTCAGTGCCGCATATCTCGGCATCGCCGCACTGGCGGATGCCATAATGCGGGGCAAGAAACGTTCCCAAGGAGTCGTAAAACGCCATCCGCCCGGCACACAAGAACACGAGACGTACCTTAAGTCGGATAGCCAGCACTCTGGAGCACACAACCAGCAGACCCAACGCGGGAACGGCCCCCGAAGAGCACTTTCGCCAAAGTTTCTGATTACTCAGTATTATGGCCGCGGAACCTGACGCTCGGTAGATCGCGCTGCATTATTCACAGTGGCGCTACCCACGACAAAACAGATGAGAACGGATTGGCGTCTCATTCAGACGTCCGGCCTGTAGCACGTGCTCGCTGCCTTCCACCGTGCTTTGGCTGCGCGTGCACGCTCGAGGGCCGAGGCTCACGAGACGCCGAAGCGCTATCGAAGGCATGGTCGCTGACAAGCTGAGAACGGCAGAGGGGAGCTACAGTTGTTCCCGCCTCCAGCGCGAGCTTCCCGCCTTCGACACCGCTTGGACATCTCGTACACGTGCCCAGCGCGCGCGCGGAGCCGAAGCACGGCGGAAGGCACAGAGCGCGTGCTGGAGGCCGGGCGCTCGAAAGACGCGGCCCGCCGTTCTTGCTCTGTCAGTGAGTATAGTGAGCGGTCGCTGGAGGTGGGACAACTGAAACTATTCTTTGTCGTTCTCATCCTGCCAGTGACTGCAGTCTAAAGTCGTCCTCCTCTAAAACCAGAATAATGGCATAACAACTCTTGTTGTTTTTTTTGTTGTTTTTTTGTGTTTTTTTTTAAATTTAATCAGCTTTGAAAGGCGTACTTCAATCTCATACACACACCACGCATAAAAGATGGTAGGATAACCACTGGGAACTATTGGCTTGTAAGTTAATTGTAATGAAATAAGATTAGCCGGCCAGATTGTCAGCAACCTGGTCAAACTCACCGTCCACTGGAAGGTTGCTGGCGGAGTACGAGATCTTGGTGGCGTTGTACTTCTTGCAGAAGATGCAGTAGCAGACGCCAAACCTTTCATTTAACTCAGCGTCGTACCAGCTGCCACAAAAAGGTAAGCCAACGTAAGGATACTAAAATAAGAACTTACCATGGATTTCTGACCCTTTTGTGTACACTCGAACTTGTACAAGCACACTCATCAACATTGAAGGGTGTTATAGCACAGACAGAGGCTCATATAATTTAATAATAAGAACTAGCAGCGAAACTTGACCACAACTTTGGTCACAGATGAGAACCTCCCAAAGTTTGAAGGTTCTCGCAAACTTCCCGAAGTAGAAGTTCCGAAATTTTCGGTCCTCACTAACGTTCCAGGCTTTCACAATGTTCGCAACTTTCGAAGTTCGTGAAAGTTCGCGTTTGACGGTATCAAACTTCTGTAAAGTTGAAGTTCGAAAAAAGTTGAAAATTTCAAACTTTCTTCGAGTTTGTGTTTGCGAATTTCCGAGCCTTCTAATCTCATGGAGGTTAAAATCCTACACATTCAATTTGTTTTCCCACAAATTTATTAATAAAGATACTATAGCGATCTCCCGACTCAACGCTGCAGCGAATCCGGCGAAGTCATCGCTGCTACAAGCATTGTAGTCTGGTGAATTCTCTTAGATCTTCAGTCTTTTACCATGAAATGACTCGAGAGGCCCAAGAAGCCGACGACGACGACGAAGGGAACAAGGAGCGGAGGCGACAACGAGGAAGAAAAAAAAACAAAAAAAACAAAGGACTGATTGAGATAATGGTATAATTTGTAGACCCCTACATACAACGGCGGTCCTACCTTATGATTATATGATTACTTTGATTTTTGTCGATCGGACATAATTGAGCCAGCGCGGTGCGAGCGTGGTCGCCAGTAATTTGCAACAGCTGTTTGGTTTTCAAGACAGCTAAAACGGGTGCTGATTGAAGCATAATTTGGAGGCTAAACCTCGTAGTAGTTTTTCATTTATGTTTTAATCGTTCGAAGCCTACTCGTTTCCCCGTAACTTTGTAAACAGCGGAAGCTACGGCGGCTCCAGCGAACCAACCAGGGCGTCGGAGTGGTGGACGTGACAACGTAAATCCGAGTGCACGATAAATTTGCAAGAAGCCGCCACGTGCGTCGCTGACCCGTGAGGTTAGACGCCCTAAAGCAGCGCCACCGCACTGGCATGCACCAGAGTATAAAAGGCTCTGGCATGCACGTGAGAAAGTAGAGACGCAGGACAAACTCCTCTTACAAAGCCCTCCACCCTTTCCATTTTAGCTGGGCAAACGCTCGAGAGAAGGCGAGTGGGGAAGAGGAAACCACCAATCATGACGAGCAGGGAGATAAAGGCAGAAAGCCTTCTGCATTTCTCATACCCTGCGCGCTGTTTACAGGAAGCCTCTTTGAATGGACACGCTCCATTTTCGCCGCTCCGACAGCGTGCTCCCCCCCCCCCCCCCCCCCCTCTCGCCTTTTTTTTTTCTCTGTTTCACATTTTGACCGCCAGGCCGCAACTGTTTGCGTTGCAGACTGCGGTGGCGCTTTCTCTGGAGTGACAACTAAGTTTCTCGGCAGCACTCACCCGTCGTCCAGGCAGTTGTCTCCTTTCACGGTGCAATTGAGCACCATGTCTTGTTTAGTGTGCACCAGCGAGTTCAGAGTGTCGTTGAGGTACCGCGCACGGTTCAGGTACGGGTACAGTATGTCTCTCGTGAAGTTTCTGGCCGCGTCGGCGTCCTTTAAATAAAAAAAGGCAAAAAAAAAAAAAAAGCGGCAAACGAAGTTGAGTCAGATTGATTGAATGGGATGCTGTCTCCCCCCGATAAGGGGTATTCACACGAGGGAGAAATCCCGGGGATTTCTCCCCGGCACGCGCGCATCACGAGATGAAAACGCGAGGCTTTTGCACATCGCAAAGCCTGACGTTTTCGTCGTGGGATGCGCGTGCGAGGGAGAAATCCCCGGGATTTCTCCCTCGTGTGAATACCCCTATAGAAACGATTTGGCCGGTGCATACACGACCGCTTACAACTTAATAGCCTGCGTCTATTGCCATTCGCACGAGGCGAAGTGTCTGCTCATGTGCCGCGTGTCGACGGCAATTAAAGCCCCTTCGTGTTTCAAAAGTAGCGCAAAGTTTGTCGATGCACGAGACACGTGCAACGTGCAACACTTGGGAAGGTCATGGCGGCACAGCGCAGCATTGAGCTAGATTTCAGACGCCATGAATTTCCCAGAAGCGGCGCGCGGCACGTGCCTCGAGCATTTCAACAATGAATGGCGCCACTTTTCCCAGGATAGAGGGTCTTTAGACGGCAATGCCACTGCAGCGCCAGCCCTCGTGTTCAATTCATGCTCAAAATGCGTGCCCGAACCGAGAAAAAAAAAAAAAGTTTTCGGCATTTGTTGCGTGAAGTAGTTCTTACAAGATTTGGTTGTCGAAGGAAGAAACGATGCTTTTGGCATTGTAAACGTACTGTATCTTGATAAAATAACGTAAAGCTAACCTAAGATGTACCTACATATATCTTAACTCAGCGCACCAAAGGAAAGACTAGTAACGTTCCGCAAAAAAAAAAAAAAAAACACTTTTTTTTTTATTAGTACGGTGTTTGAAGGCTCTGTCTTTGTTCCGTCGCTCTAATTAACTCACGCGTGCTGTAGCTTTTTTTTTTTTTTTTTTTTTTTTGTACAAGGTTACGTGGACACGTCTGCTCGATTCTGGTTTCTGCTTTGCAGTGACAATGCGAGTAGGGTGACCACCCCACCCGCGACGCGCGGGACTGTCCCGCATTGAAGGCTCGTGTCCCGCGTCCCGCGAGAAATTCCCAAATCTTCAAAGTGTCCCGCATTTCACACTGTCGTAAAATTCACTCTGGGACTGCATGGTGCTGCCGAACCACGGGGCACGTAATCGTGCGAATCGCAATGGTACGCTATTTTCTATCCAAGCATTGTGGGGAGTGACCGTCGTTTTTGCAGGAGATCCGACGCGGATGCTCCGTTGTGCATCTCCCCTTGATGGCTAAATATTGTAAGAAAAATTGCTCGCCAAAAGTTTAAATATAAAATATTGTAATTATTTTCAAATTGCTCTATCAATGTGAAAGGGTTGCCGTGAGTTTTGTTTTTAATGAAGACAGCCAACGCAAAGCAAAAAGTCTGCAACTCACAACGGTCGAAAAAGAACATAATGTTAAACTTTTGTGTAGGACCATGTTAATAAAAGTAAAGGCCCGTTCACACTCTTGCAACCGAATACGACCGAGAGAGACAAGACCGGTTTTTAAGCCTGTTGCGACGTCTTAGGACCAGCTCCGCTCCAGCGCATCCGGTCCTAAGAGGTCGCAAGAAGCTTATAAACCGGTCTGGTCTCTCTCGGTCGTACTCGGTTGCAAGAGTGTGAACGGGCCTTAAGGCGCGTTCACACTCTTGCAACCGAGTACGACCGAGAAAGACTTCTTGGGACCGGATGCACTGAGCGGAGCTGGTCCTAAGAGATCGCAAGAGGCTTAAAAACCGGTTTGGTCTCTCTCGGTCGCACTCGGTTGCAAGAGTGTGAACGGGCCTTTAAGTGTTGACAAGAAACAATAATAAAAAAAAAGATTTACTGTTTCTTATTTCCATTTGATGCACTGAATTCTGCCACAGTCGATTTTTATTTTTTCAACTTCGACACATTTAATAACCATATTTGGCATAAACCAATATATCACTGGGAGTGAAAATTATTTAAGCTTAATTGCTGCAATACAATTAGCAGGTGTATAAACAGCCCAGGATATTCAACGTTTTAACAGAGGTTCGGTTCGTAGTGTGCGTGTTAATAAATTTCCTCCACCCTCCGGCCCCTCGTGTCCCGCATTTCGCTAGCAAAAAGGATGTCACCCTAAGTGCGAGTGCTCGCACGGTTGGTATTTCTACGCCACCTATTGGAGGCCAGCGTGGGGCACGCGTTGGACGCAAGGGCTGCGTCTGTGTTCAGCTGGAAGTCGTGTTCTCGCTAACTGAACAGCGCGCCGGCCTCCCACAGGTGACGTCAGGAAAATCCAGCACAACGGCCTTGTTATCTGGGAGTTGTTTTGTCAGGCCCCAATCAGAACCGTGTGTTCTGAGAGAATTTGAACAATGAGCGGAGCCTCTGACCCGCTAGAACAAGCCGACGTCGCGGTAAGGCTAGGGTTGTGCGAAATTTAGAATAGCAGTCTCGAGTAATACGCTATTCGATAGTCGCTTCGAGATGAACCGCCATATTCTTACTTTTCGAAGTGTTGGCCGTGGCGGCGGGTTAGCCCCCTGGAGGGCGCTTCCGAGTCACCGAGCACGTTTGCACTGCGGGAAGGGAAGCAAGGTGGAGCGCAAGTTCGTCTGCTTCTTGTACATGGGTTGCGATAATGTCAGGTGACGCCGAGTTCTTATTGGCTGATTGAAAAAAAAAATAGTGGGTAGACCTCGAGGCATCTAGCATTGAGATCTACCCACTATCCTTTCAATCAAAGCAAATCAGTGCTCGGTGTCGTTCTGACGTCACCGTCCCTCCTGCGCAAGAAGACGACGACTTGCCTTCCCCATAACCGGGGAAGTCGCGGGCTCCGCGGATATTGCTTCCCCGCAGTGCACAGGTGCTCGGTGAGGAACGCACTCAACGGGGTAGGGTGTGTTAGATGTATGGTGCGTTATGTCTTGACAATCCGTGTTCATCGTTTATGCTTGTTATATTTTATGTCAAATTGGAAATTTAAGAAGGAATATTTGCATATTGCAATCATATTTAGAAATCCTCTCGGATAGGATAGCTGCGCCAAATCCGTCGCTTACATGCCACAGTCAATTAATATAGTTATTACTAACTGAGCGTAGAAATGAACAAATAGAAGAAACTATCTTATATTCGATTTGAAAATATTCGACCAAAACCACCATTCATTTCGAACTTGCTTCGAACTCAAAATCCACTATTCGCACATGCCTAGTGATAACACATCATGGCATGTTATCTTTTATTGGGAGATGGTCATGATTTGTTATGCGTCAGCAACACAAGATGGCGGGGAAACATTGTCGCGGCTACTTTTTGCGTGGTCGCGGAAAAGACACATGACGACTTTCTTTTTTATATATTATCTGCGGACGTGGCCCTGACCCGGCAACTCAACAGCCCGTGTGGCCGACTTGAAGCCTGAAGGCTACGCGGCCGTCTCCGTTGGGAACCAAGGGTCGAGGGCCTTCAAGAGTCCTCGTGTCCGGGCGTAAGCCTAACACACCGAGCTCCATTTTGAGCTCCCAGCCCCTCGCTCTCTCGGGACGCAGGGAACCCCGTTCGGGGCCATGGAGGTAAGCTTACTTCCAGTTTGGAGGGACACCCCCTAACGATGACCAAAACCGAAACACGCTATTAGACGTAAAGGACGGCTCATTTGGCGCCAACAGCTGTTTTAATTCACCTGTGGGGGCGTTCCTTCCGGCTTCGCTTGTCGCCTCTTCTCTCTACCTCCATGTTCGGGGTCTCGATTACCTTGTGGTGAACCGCCAGCAAACTAATAATTTATTTTCTTGCAACAATAACATTTCTTAGGTTGTCACACTCCCAGCAACTGGTTGGCAGGTTAGGGCGTCTATAAAAATTGCTCAACTCTCCCAGGGTATACGACTCTGCCCCCGATTTCTTATTACCTCTTTAATTTGAAAGCGGCCGGGCACATTTACGAGCTCGTAAAATTATATATATATAAAGAAACCTGTCGGGAGTGAGTCGCGGTGCGAACTTACCATAGGACCCTTCTGCTCGCAAAGCTCCTTGTAAGGGGATTCCTCTTGCTGGGTCGCACAGAAGACCGAAGCCTTCATCGGATTCAGGTTGCAGAATGTCACGGCAGGCAGAATCAGGGTGGCGCCTTCCGACATGGATATCGACACGATATCTCGGTACTCAAAGTGGTTTTGGAGTGTTTTGCCTGCGTGATGGACATAAACACACGTGTCAGCGATGTATAAGCGACCCAGGCAGTCGCCTCTGATCAGGACATTTGGAGGTGCGTGAAAAACATCCTCGCGTGTTCCTGACGCAGGGGCATCACTAGGGGTGTGCAGCTGGGCAGTGAAGGGTGGGGGTGTCGCGGCGAGCCACGATAGGCAGGGGGGTTGCCGCGGTGTGAAGTTAGTTTTTAACGCTCCGTATGACAAGGGAGTTTTGCTCCTCCACTAAGCCCTCCGCAACGAAGATGTCACTACTGCGCCTGCGTGCCGATGTCATTGACTGAAAAGTTCCGGATTTCGTAGTGGGTTGCGGAGAGCATTGCGGGACGGCGAAAACCATCTACGAAAACTCCCTATCGCGCGCTCCGTCGCAACCGGCCGATGGGGCCAATCAAGCAGCCTCAAAAGAGAAACTTTAGGGCGTTTGCTGACTTTCTGCGTGCATGTTAGTGTTGCCTCCGGTTAAACCAGCCAACCCCGGTGAATCACTCTGAACGTGAGCAGAGCTTTTAGTCTGTACGTCTCTGTATGCGTTTCTTGTGAGCTTTTACTGCGCTGACTTTTACAACCGCTTCGCGAACGCGTCAATCGGTCACTGTGCGCTTCCATTGCAACCTTGGATTGGTCCTGGACCGTGATTGGCGTCAGAGTCCGGACCACGGTGGAAATAAAGAGGTGTATATTACGGCGCCGCCTCGTTATGGAGCAAATGTGGCGAAGATTCGCTCGCATTTTCGACAAACACCCGTGAGATGGCGCAACATGTTTAGGGAGAATCTTATATGGGCACTAGGGGGCTGATGAGAGCTAAAGTCACTGGAATCAGTGTCTTTAATGGGAAGCACTCGAGGAGCCGTCCTTATATTCGCGCAGGTGTTTATAAGGCCGCGCAGCGCGCGACCGCGCTTTTCCGAATTGGCCCCTAAACCGAAAGTACCCCTGGCGGGAAATGCGCGAAGCCCTAGCAAACTTTTGCCACCTTGACTGGCCTTAGTCAGACATATCTCTCCTCTTCCACCGTGGCCCGGACAGTGACGAAACAAAATATGAAGATCGATTAAATGTTGGTTTCAGTGCATCGCGGTATTCAGGTAGCTAGCTTCACCGATGCTGAAAATGGTGAGGACAAGGAAGACCACGTAGACGGTGCAGAAAATCCAGAAGCGCCATCGGTTCTCGATGATCACGAGCCGGTCGATGCCTGTCGTGGACTCGGCGAACAGTTCCTTCAGCTTGGCCAGAGGCTCTTTCTCCCGAGATTTGAGGCGGCACATGTGGGCCGCCTGCCGGAACCGCTGGAGAAGCTGACGCCGACGCTGGAGGTCCTTGATGTGACTGCGGAGACAAAGATCTGCCTAGCGATCATCCCACGCAACAACTGTGTTGCATATTATTATTATTTTTTTTTTTTTTTATTTCAGACAGAAAAGTGTGAAGCAAAAGCAGACAAATTTGTTTCTGACGGGACCCTCCACCTAGAATAATCACTGGAAACCTCCTCTTCGTACTCCATGGAACGTCATGGGAGTCTGATGACGCCAACTCAACAATCGGACCCGAGCTGAACGCCGAGAGTCTTCCGACGCGTTGATTAGACACGAGGCTCAGCCGAACGCTGACGCAACACTCGTGTCCAATCGGCGTCTTCGCTCGATCTCACTCTGATGACGTTAGTGCACAGGCTTCGAATATGGCCCGTGGTCGGGAGGATGGACGACTCCCCAACACTAGAGCACGGACCAAGTTTTTGTCTGTCACTTTAGGAACCGGGTACCATTTAAGCACACACAGACGGGGTTGGAGATTACCACAAATAATAGCAGGGGGTGTTAACAATGAAGACTATAACGGTAAATATCTATCCACAACTTCCACTTGCCTTTCGGACGTCCAGATGTCGTGAATGCCCCTTCGCGGCGCAATCACGTTGCCATAAAACCAGCCCGCGTCGGAACGTGGGTACGCCATATCGAAATGAATCAGGGGACCCCGAGTTCCGCGAACTCTTTAGTTTCACACGCTCACGCCAGCCACGCTCGATACCGCCAGCTCCCCGATCGGCCGGCGTGACCGCGAACCGCGGTCGCTGTTGATCGATATGCAGGCGTCAACGGTCAAAACTTTAACGACCTCTGGCATTGAGCTCGTAGAGCCGATTGAAACCAATGCGGTTATTGATTGCTCGTACCCGCAACTGTGGCGACGCGCCCGTTAAGGCGCACAGCAACCGCTCGATGCAAAGAGCACCCTACAACTCTAATTTCTATAATTCAGCGTTTATTTATCTTTTTTTTTTTTTTTGCAGGGGATTGAGCGCTTATCGTTGTTCGTTCAGGCTTTTCTTTTTTAAACGACTTTACCGCGCAAAGCCAGGCAAACATCACAAGTTAGTTGGTTGCTTGAGCCCCTTTGCGGTATACTTCGGGTTCTGTCAAGGCGGCGTAAATTTTCAGTGAACAATATTATAAGCAATTAGAAAATAACAATAACATTGGCAACGTCACCGTCTGAACCCAACTCAAAAAAGCGCGCTTGGAGAAGTGTGTACTGATATATAGATCGATACATGAACGTTCGTCTATCCGGTTAAGGCGGTAACTTGCGCCACGTAGCGCCACTTACCTCGTCGCACCCCGCACCTCTCGAATGTTGAAGAATGCATTGTCCAGGTTTCAGCACGATTCCGGTGCGAGGTGCAGTCCTCTGATTACATGTTTTGTTCAACTCAAGAATTGTTTTATGATCAGAGCTGTAATCAACGAGTTTTAATGCCCATATAAGTTTGGCGAATTCAGCAAAGTCGTCCATAAACATTGTGCAGGAAAAGAGAAACAGGAAGCAAGTTCGCGTAAATTTCCCATTTTCATCAAACCAGCTGTTTCATTCATTGCTCGGCAAGTGGCTCGGCAACGACACTTCTACTTCAACTTGCTCTTTAGGTTAGTACAAGAGGTGGTTAATTTGACACCTTTTTATTTGTAAATGGTATACTTAACGCCGGTAATCTGTGGCAGATGCCAAGGCTACGGGGAAAAGCCAGAGTTTTTCCTGTACTACGTTCTGGCTACTCCAATAATTAATTCTTATTTGTTTCCTTGTTCGAGGGGTGCTCCCGGGAAACTGTAAGGTGTTACCATCAATTTCCAGGTTTTAATAGCTGATCTCGCTGACTGCCTGTTACTTACTTCGTGTTAGTTACTTTTCCCTCTATCTCCCACTGAACTCAATAGTTGTCTCGTATAGGTGGTATTCACTGGACGCCATATTTGAGGCGACTGCTCACAACGCATGCTCAAGAGGAGTTTCCCGTTAGCTTTCCGGCAACCACAAGAGCGGAAGGAGAAACACTCTTCTCGAATCCCGGGGAAAAGCTCACCGGAGAAAAGCTCACCGCAAAACCGGCGGATGCGGAGAAAAGCTCACCGATTTTTTCTTTTCATATGGAGGCTGTTGGATCATGCGTAACATATATCAATTTATGATCATTAAAAATTATCAAAGAATATGTCCTTTTTGTAATATTTGTTAAGCTTATTGGGTATATTGCTCCCAAAATAATAATAGCGGGAGAGTGTTTTCTGTGGTTCACTCTCTAAGCAACGAAAGCGTAACTGAAAACTTTATGAACTTGGAGAACAGGAGCAAGTTCGAAAACTTAATGATGTCTGCCTAAAACCTAAAAATCAAAACTGTAAATATCGAAAATCCGAAAGTGCATGAGCAACAACGCGGCACCTGAAATTCTCTATGAAACTTTTGTTAACCTTTGAAAACAGGATAAAACAGTCATAGAATATCAAAGCTTTTTTCTTCCACAGAGATGCACATACGTTTTCTAGCCGTTCGTGCTGGTATTTCGACACGTTGCCTTTTTGTGATTGTGCCCTTCTATGGTGAGTCACCCATGACCTTCGGAGCTGCACACTGTCACCGTTGTTACTCGTGACCTATATAAGAAGTAGTCTCCTGTAAGGTAGCGAACAGGGCGAGTTGGCAAACTTTATACACGATGAAAATCGCTCAAATGACAACGACGGAGTGAAGATAACAAACACGACAGGACGGAGTTGTTCTCGCAACTAAAAGTTTCTTAGTAAAATTAACAGAAAAAAAAACAGTAGCCATCAGCTGTCAATAAATTGTTTTTTACCGGTCTGCTATGTTCTGATTTTATACTTGCGGCTTCATTAATAAACATAATGGGTGATTACTAATTTCCGAAGAATTAGTATATATGCCCAATGAACTTCAATAATATTACAAAAAAGATGACATATTGTGTTAGCGAATTGTGTTAAATTGGCACGTTTGATGCAGAATCCGCCTGGTTAAAAAAGCCGGTGAGCTTTTCTCCGCATCCGCTCAAAGGCCGGTGAGCTTTTCTCCGCATCTGCCGGTTTTGCGGTGAGCTTTTCTCCGGTGAGCTTTTCTCCGCCGCCCCTCTTCTCACCGTGGCTTTCCTTTTGTGTGTCCTAGACTTCCCCAGACATCACTATTCTCCCTCTAGAAGATTATATAAGATCAACCTGTCACTCAAAATTCGTACAAAAGCAGCTTTCCCTTCTCTCCTCAGTAGAAATGCGAAAGCAGCAGCGACCTTAGCTATGGCTGCCAGTGAATACCACCTATACAGTTCTTGATCAACGGCAACTTTCACTCCACATGTATTCCAGGTCCCCAAGCCATCCCCCACTTTCCACATCATAGACACTTCATGTAAGAGGATCACTGACCCGATGGAGCCCAGCGAAATCTGGATTGATGTGCCGTTCGGCAGGCTAGCGGCTAAGGTGTGGGGCTCGCCCTCAGGCAAGCCAGTGCTAGCACTCCATGGCTGGTTGGACAGTGCTGCCACCTTTGACACCCTCGCACCCCTCCTGAACCCTAGCCTGAAGATTGTTGCACTCGACCTTTCCGGCCACGGCAAATCTTCACACAGACCCAAGGGCTCGCATTACAACTACTTGGAGTATGTTGTAGATGTACGGAGGGTAGTGCACCATTTCCAGTGGGACCGCTTCTCCATCTTGGGCCACAGCATGGGGGCCTCTGTGGGACTCCTGTTTGCTGGCTTCTTCCCCAGACGTGTAGAGTCCCTAGTGACCCTTGATGTGATCATCCCAATGGTGACCCCTGATGCCCATCTTCCTTCTGTCATAGCAGGCGGTATCGTCAAATTCCTTAAGCTAGAAGCCCGGATGGGCAGCCCACCCACATACAGCCAGGAAGAACTACTAGAACGCTTGGAGGCAGCAAACCCTGGGCTCTTGAGTGAACGCTCCAAAAGACTTCTCCTTGCCAGGGGAGCTGAGGCTGTACCGGGTGGCGGCTACCAGCTGAGAAGGGATGTCAGAGCCAAGACCAGCCGGACTTTCGGGCTGCCATTAAGCGTACAGGAAGAGATGATGTCTGGCTACACTGGAGACATACTGATTTTTAGGTCCACAGATAATATCCTCACTCAGGGCTTGAAGCCCCTCGAGCAGAAGTTCCGAGAGTTGTACAAAAAGTGCTGCGGACGGTTTGAGTATGTGGAGTTGCAGGGAGGACACTACGTGCACCTGAATCATCCAGAGCTTCTGGCCCCCACCATTAACAGGTTCCTTTGTGCCCCATCGAGGGCAAAACTTTAAAGGTCTTGAGATGTTTGTACTACTGCCCTTTCAACCAGATTGTGGATTGAGACAAGTTCCATGGCAAGCAGACAACACTGCATGAAGATCAAAGCATTGTCTTATTTTTACTCGTAGAGAGGAACAAAAGTAGTGCATGCATAAATCAATCTTGCTGCTATCAAGGTCCACATGCTACTTTTTGCAAGCACGAAAATGTTGAATAAACGCTCAACAATTATTTTTAGGATCTCAGAATGCTTTCTTTGACAGCTTACGAGGTCACACAAAATGCAGGAGCTCACTTCAGCATGTTGAACCGTACCGCACGCACACATTTTACATCTTGTACTTCAACTTTCCAGCCCTGGAGAAGAGACTTGCCCATCCACTTGTGTATACTTGTCTGCACCTCAAGGCAGTGCACCGCATTCCGAGCCAAACAGTTATGCATGGCAAAGTCTAACATACTTACAGTACTGATACGGTTAAGCACTTAATGCGGAGCGCAAGTTTGTCCGCTTGTTTTGCAGGGGTTGTGGTGATGTCAGAACGCCGAGCTCCGATTGGTTATGATTGAAGGATAGTGGGTAGACCTCAAGGCAGCTAGCTTTGGGGTCTACCCGTTATCCTTTAATCGGAGCTTGGTGTTCTGCAACACCACAACCCCTGCAAAACAAGCAGAGGAACTTGCGCTCTGCATAACAGTGCGATGGCAACACCTTAAGTTGTCTGTTCACGATGAGAAACGTAACTGGGCACCAACGGCAACATTGGTCTCCAAGGGGAAGCTAGCAATTCATCCTTGTGCCACAAATAAAACGCCCCCACCGCTTCTTGGCAGGCACCTATCATGCCCACGGAATGGAAAGAAGCCCAGTTCGCGGTGCCCTACGGTCACCTGGCTGCCAAACTCTGGGGGGACCAGTCTCTGGCGCGCACCAATGTCCTGGCTCTCCACGGATGGAGAAACAATGCGGGCACGTTCGACACGCTCGTCCCTCTACTCTCCTCAGGTCTGGATGCTCTGCTTGCAGACGGCACCCGCATCGAATGCATGCTGGCGCTCTTGCACACTCCTGCACTCTTTTGGGAAGGGCCGCTTGTGCAAATTGTGCAAGCGGGACGCGCATCGCGCAGGGACATGCATTTCGGTGATGGGATTCGGCAGTTGTCCGAGCATCTTTGGTGTGTCCCCAAACTTTGAGGACTGCTGTGGTCGCTGACAAGATGAGAAAGGCAGGACATGCCTCTCGGATGCTTGGCGTCCAACGTGCGCTCGCTGCCTTTCGCAGTGCTTTAGCCGTGCGCGCACGCTGGAGGCTGTCAAGACGCTGAAATGTTGTCGAAGGTTGGACGCTAACGCTGCAGGCGGGACAACTGAAGACCTTGCCTGCCATTCTCCTCCTGCCAGTGACCATAGTCATGTTATGCTATGCTTCGTTTTCGCTGTTGCACTTTCTTCAGCATGTGGCCCCACAAAAAAACAGGTGCAGTATTGAAACGTTCCAAGGCCACACAACTGCCAAAACGGCACATTACGGAACGGGATTAAATTCTCAAAATGCGTGTTACAATGTGAAACGTTTTGCCTGTGTAAGCGGCCTCTTGACCAGACTTGTTTGCAGGAATGTTAACTTTTTTCTGCACATGTGCTTGCAGCTTTTGTACAGATTTTGCCATCTCTCAACCTTTTACCTGCTTTGGTGCGGTCTTCGGTGTTGCGACGTGTTTTATCAGTACTGTTGCAATTTTTCTTCGTGTTTACCCCTTCCCTTCTCAAGCCATTTTTGCTCATCTTGTATTTTCTAAAATATACCTGCAACATGAGTCTCATCATAATGCTAAAGGGATTCTCTCCTTTAGCAGCACTCTACTATGGGCACAAACAGCATTAAGGACGAGAAGAAGCAGACAGGACGGACGCTGACTGGCAACTGATGTTATAATACTCAAGAATAAGAAAGAAGAGCAAGAAAAACGTAAGTGGGAGATATAAACGAGGAATACGACAAAGGACCTGCGAATCTGGAGTAAAAATTACTATAGACAAGGGAAGATAAACGTTACTATACTTAATGTAAAAGAAGGATATGAAGAATGAACTGGCAAACAAGTAAAAGAACTGAAATAAATAAAGAAGATGGTTCATCTCTATATAGCTTTATGAACAGAGGTTCAGATAGAACAATTTCTAGTATAATAATAATAATACCTTTATTTGGCCCTGGAGAGCCGTGGCACCACGGAAAGGCAACAGCCCGTACCACGGAAACCCGCGGTGCCGCGTCTAATGAACACTATGATGCGATGAGTATATATACATACATGCGAAATGACGACGAGATAAATTGCTGTTATTGCGGAGGATTTGCAAATGTCCAGATTTCGTTGAGGCGGGTCAGCAGCGAGCCATGGGGATCTGGCATGCTGTTCGATCGGTGCATGTAGCACAAAGGAGTCCCAGGAGCACCATGCTCATGGGACTTCTTTGTGCTACATACACCAGTTCTTTGACCGAAGTGCTTGGGCGAAGCATCAGGCACCAAAGAGGTAGCCCAGTCAAAGTGGAGAGTTGCCTCCTCCGAAGTACTGAGGCCCAGGGCTCGGATTGAGGCACCGCCGTCGCCCGGTGTATCATTCTCTGAACGTCGTCGTTTCGCCCACAATGTCACGGAAGGGGCACAGACACATGCATCTTTTTTGGATAGTATAGATTTTGCTTCATATAGTTCTCTTGAGTACTTGTCGTGGAGCGGCTTAAGGATTTGAGCGTCTGCAAACAAGGGGTGCCCATTTGCAACCTCGAATGAAAAAAAAAAAAATGGAGACTGTAAAAGCACCTCTTTCTTTGCAGACACTCAAGTCCTGAAGCGGTTCCACGACATGCGCTCGAGAGTACTATTTAAAGGACACACATGTCGGTGCCCTTTCTGTGACATTATCAGAAAAGGAATTGTTGTAGAAATGAACCTCCTTTATTTTTATTTGTTCTTTTACCCATTCGCCAGTTCATTTCTGAAGCTCTTTGTCATTCCTTTCTTTTACATGAAATATAGTAACTTTTTAGCTTATATTTATTTATAGTAATTTTTTATTAGATTCGCAGCTGCTTAGTCTTCTTTTTTATTTGCTTCTTTTTATATCTCCCACTTACATTTTTCTTTCTCCTCTTACTCTTGCGTATTAAAACGTCAGTTGCTAGACAGCGTCCGCCCTGTCCACTTGTTCTGCTAGCGTTATGTCCATAGTGTTTCTAGCCTAACAGTTCATTTTGTTGCACCGTCCAAGTAGCATTCTCAACATGACAGCAGCCCACCTGATGTCCATGTTGAAGAGTAGGAAAATTTAAACATTAATCCCATAGTCTGGGTGATCATATCGCTTTATTTTTGAAACTTGAATATACTAATTTAGTTACTAAAGAAGAAAACTTGGAGGACGGTTAAAGGGACACTGACAGAATATTTATGGTCGTCAAGGTTTTTACTTGGTACATGACATACGAGAGCCGAACTGCCCAGAACACAATTTGCGGCTCGAAATTTTTCTTTCCGCCCGAAAACCGCCGATCAAGAACTGGCTGGTTGGAGTCGCGCTCACTCTCTTCTCCGTGGTCACGTGCTGCTTTCTATGGTTTAGACACGACCACCAAATATAATCGAAGTCGTGGGTCATTGATGGCACACACTCAATATTAAAAATACAAAGGAAATATGATACCAATCATTTGAGACATGCGGCGACATTTTATTTGCCTTACACTACACGTTTTTTAATCACTTTCATTTCATGCTTGACGTTGAGTTTCACGTGAAGGTTGTTTGAAATTCTCGTGCGAGGTCTTGTGGCTGCAACGTCTTGACCCCATTGACCAATCCGGATTTTTCCCGATTGGTCCCACTATCCCCAGTCATGCCACCGTCTCTGGCGTTTCTGCAACACAAGCTCCTTAAAGCTATCGCATTAAAAAAGGTTGCACAGGAGCTGACAGCAGCATGAGGTCCAATTATAATCATTCCTAATTTGGTGGCTATAACTACATCAGATGCATTCCGTTCAGGGAGGGGACTGTACATGGCATGTAGCTTGCCAGTCAGACGGTCAATGTAGCCTGCTCATATTCTACGATCTCCTCAGTTTTACGTATCAATGGGTTGCAGCGGACTCTACAAGCCATCGGAGCCAGTTCAGCACTGCTTGAGAGTTCCGTGCCCTTCCAAAGGGGCATAGAGTAGTGGTGCAAAACTATCGATGATATCGATAGTCGCCAAAAATCTGACTATCGATAGTACTATTGATAGTCAACTATAGAAAAACTACCGATAGTTGAAAATCGGAAATTGTTAATCGACTATCTGACAACTATCGATAGTCGACTATCGTAAACCTATCGATAGCACTGCCGACGGTTTACTATCGATAGTTTTGCGACACAAGTAGTTTGCATCGCTCCCTTTTTTTTTGTCTATTTCTTAAATGGGACACCAACTAGCCCAAGCACTTACCATCCAAACTTTGGTTCAGCTTTCAGTGATAACGAAGACGGGAGTTTGGGCGAAGAGAGGAGGAAGGGAGGCGAGCAGCGGTGCGGCAACTGTGTTTGCTCTAGTGATGCAAAACTATCGATAGTCGCCAGAAATCTGACTATCGATAGTAAAAAAACTATCAACAATACCATCGATAGTCGACCACCGAAAAACTATCGATAGCCGACTATAAAAAAACTATCAATAGTACTATCGATAGTCGACTGTCGATAGTTCTGCAACACTATCGATTGTTTTGGAAAAACTATGGATAGTCAATTTATCGACAGTTTTGTATCACTATAGCGTAGAGACATGCAGGGCACAAAGCTATGCGATATGTTCAAAGCACTGGATTAGCTAAGATGGCTCATTGCGTCCACTGCAGTCCATCAAAACGAGAAACTGAGTATTCGCAACTCCAGCACGCTGCTCGTCCTCTCGTGGTAAACGAAGAACCAAAGGGGCGGGGATGGCAGCAGAGACAGTTGCAGGGACTGTCGGCCTTGGTGCTGCTGTTACTGCACGGTTCTGGTCAGCGTGTTCATGCATCATGCAGTTTTAGCAAAAAAGGCGAGTGCGTTCAAATAAGAATTGTTGCATTCAGCTTCACATCTCTTAAAAATCAAGAAGTTTGTTCTTAACGCAGCACGTCAACACTACCGTCACCTGTGATATGCTCCCGCCCCGACTGCTTCGTATTTGTAGCCAAATAAATTTT